AGCCCTTTACCTCTGCATCACACCACATTTTGCTTTGGCTAGTTCTTCCAAGACTCTCAGCACCCCTCTTTATGCAGACATCCTTCTGCTCTACATACAGACAAGTGACCTGGAGTTTACACTCTGGTCCTGGAAGGATCATCTCCAGATTGGAAAAGTGGGAGTGACTGTGTACAGAGTTTATCAGCTGAAGCTCTGGGTGGACATCTCTGTTTGTAAAGAGCTTTACAAGTATGGAAAAGATATAATGTTTTCAAATATGATGAATACATGTTGTGGCCTGATGTGTTCACGATAGGGGTGGGCGATATACATCGTAGACAATAAGTGACTTTGAAGATATGCTTTTTTTATCTCCAATAAATATAACAAGTTGAGCAGACAAATAGTACAAACATGAGAGATGCCTATTTGTCAAATGTGTGCCTCAAAACCCAATCACTGCAGGGGATCCAGTCACATCATTTGCGAGTGGAAGTTAGTCACTGCCTGGGAGACATGTTCATATGTGTGTATGCTGCTTTATATCTTATTTTTTATTTGTACATTTTGGTAAATATTGAGCAAGCCTTTTCGGATTATATGTCTGTGCATGTTTTTCAAAGATGTGTAAAGCACTTCACAAATGAAAAGCTGCTTTTTTTATCTACACTGTCTCTATCTATGTCCTGGCAAGCAAAACATTTCATATAATTTTGTGTAAAGGGGTAAAACACAAAAATCATATTATTTAAGATATCGTGACAATATCGTTATTGGGAGATGGAAAAAAATTATTGAGATAATTATTTTTCCCATATTGCCCACCCCTAGTTCAAAACATTTCATTCAAGACTCTTTCTGTTGGAACAAACAAAATTATGAAGAAAAAGCTACTGAAGCCAGGCACCCCAAGTACACTCTATCAATACTTAGAATACAATCAATCTTTCAGGTGTCAATGTAGCAGAATTGCTGAATGAGATCTGTGCCCGGGACACTTTCAACACTGCCACCTGGCAATCTACAAAACGTTTTCCTAAATATTTATTTTATGTATTTTCATTATTAATCATTAGCCCTCAATCTCTTATAATTGAAAAAACTCAGTTAACAAGGGTTAACACAACTATTGTGTGCGAATGTGGGAAACGGATGCAAATTAGCCCAAGTCTACAATCCGGAGTGATGTGTTCATTAACATGTACTGTTCCAACCAAAAAAACAATAAATAAATAAATAATTATTGATTGATTCCTATGCTTGACATGATTTGTTTACCGCTTGTATTAACAATTTTAAGAAAGACTATACTACATGACTCAACACCACGGCCGAATTAGTAACAGAGTCCCTTCCTTTGTCCCAAAAATAGCCTTTGCGGTAACAGTCGGTTACATCACACAGGAATGCACAGATTCATGGTGAGAGCTATAGGAGAGTGAGTCCACAGTCACACGCTGCAGTTGAATGAGGTTACAGGTGGAATTTCCCCACGCATCTCCTCAGCCTGACGTCATGTCCACTGCACTCCTCCTCAACAGCCTCCAACATGTCTGACAAGTGCAGTGCAGCTGTCACTCACAGCAGATAAACTGCCACGCAAAAAACAGAACTTTACAAATAGCAGTTCCCCTGAAACTCCTATAAGTACTTTTTATAATGAAAACAGGAAGTTGCGCTAGTTTTATTTCTCATTTTTGGCCACCAGATCCTGCATTCTTCTGCATTAAGCATAAGAAGCAGGTTATTCACAATGCCATCTTGTGGCTATATGAAAGTTAGCAAGTCACATTTACAGTATTAACTCAACACTTTTTAAACATGTTTCAGATTTAGAAGAATAAACAAAAATGTGATCCAAGTTCTTTATAATCATATTTGCCTATAGAACCAGTAGGTCTTAATTCAAGACAGTTCAATAGAGATTTAAGAGTGAAATGGCTTTTTATTTCATTTTTACTTTAAAAAATATTTATTTCATATGCCTTTTTATTGTTTATATTTTTATGATCAATAACATACTTATATCATCCTGAAGTGGAGAGGAATACTTTTTCTTCTCACAATAACCGCAGCTCTAAAATGTGAGATTGTGAAATCCCTGCTACTGTCTTTGCTCAAAGAAAGTATGCAGTCCGGTTAACAATAACAATTCAATTGGAGCAAGTCACGATTATTTAGGTAATCCCCATCTTTTTTTCACTAATGTACTGTGTTAACTCTCCACAAAGACTAAACACAGATATAGTACTAATTTTAAAAATGTGTTAAAAGATTACTTATCGGCAGAAGGCCGCTCAGAACACTTGTGTGAAACTGGAGAGCAGCTTTCTAAATGGAATAAAAGCTCTGTTCATTTTTTTGTGCGCAGTCAAATCAATATCTAGGAGGCCATTACAGTGGGTTGTAAAGCACCAAGGAGAAGGGGCTGATGTCTGAGGATCTCTTATCGTTGATCTGAGCACAACAGTCCTCTATTGTCCTTGGGTCACCATCACACTCATCTGCTTTGCCTGCACTGGTCTGACGTCACAGGCAAAGGCTAAGCAAAGCTGCCAGGAAAAGCAATGTGCTAGATCAGCCCTCTGTGCAAACACTCATTGCCAAGGTTTTTTAGCAGAGTTGCGTTAAAAGGAGTATTTCATTATTATTTAGTTGATTTTGTGGTTTGGCATAATTGAATAGGGCAGGTCAAGTTTGTTTACACTATTTTACTTTGTTTATGTTGTGCTATGTACGAGAAAAGTTTGTTAGAAGCATAAATGTTTATGTTTAGACCTGCTTTACAAACAGAGACCTCAATAAAGGCCGAATAGTAAATTATACCAGATTTTGTCAAGTGACTGCAGTTTTGACAGGTTAAAAATACCAAGTGTGAATTCTGGTACTTTGTCCGTGAACTTTGGGGTGTGAAAATGCTATTCTCTAATCCAATGTATAATTTGGACTGTTTGATGATATAAAACCAATAAGCCAAAAGACAAGAATGCCACACTGGTATACATGAAGTACATCATATTTGGTATTGAGTGAATTTAAGTTTCCAGGAGCCCCTGAGTCTTTGACAGCAAAATGTACAATACAGTAATAAGGAAAGAACAGGTGAATTAATTGGTTTTATCCTGCTGGTCAAGTCATATGGGTAAGGTCAACCTCTCCTTTCTTAAAGTGGCACACCTTCTTCATACATTGCAAACAACTGGTCCTTAAGACAGTTTGTCTGTCCCATACCCAAGCATCCTAACCCAAAAATGTAAACATCTGGCAAACATTTTAACTCACCACAGGCAAGGATTGATTATCTCTCACGTTTGGCATGTAACTCACAAACAAATTCACATGTGAGCCCACTCCGTTTTAAGTTACTTACTTGTATTTGAATTATAGATTAGATTTTAAGGCTTTGCTGTGTGTTAAAATTGACAGATGTTGTTCACTATCATATTGCAAAGTTATGGATGAGTAGTGGAGAGAAGGAAAGACTCTCAGCCCTGTGGCAACTCACATGAGTCAAGTCATGCTTGTTGTATTTAGTTTAGTCTGCTAAACTACCCCAAACGTGAATAGGCCTAAAGCGATTCACGATAGAGCACCTTTCAAGGCAGTCCATAATCGTGACTGAACAAGTAAACATAAAGCTTTACCTTGAGTTTTGATGGGGGTAAGCGGCGGGCGGGAAGCATTCCTTATAAACATGACCCAAAATGCTCCGATGCCGCTTCTGGGACAGCGCTCGCAACAATATCCATGTTTTCAGTCCGAGACAGCGTGAAGAAACTCTCCTACTGCTATGTACTCTCCAGTCTGACACAAGGTTGCAGTTCTCCCAGGCAGGCAGGACTGATGCGTGGGGAATTCCTACTAGTCACATTTTCCTGGGAAATGATTGGCTCAACACTAAACTTGGCTGGCCCTATGACCACTAAAAGAGTCCTTCATGTAAAACCACATATATCGGTACATCTTTACACGTATAGCAGTTTATACGTGTAACCTTAGCCATGGAAAATTTAAATACGGAGCCATCAGGTGCAGACATAAACTATGTATTAATAATGCTCGAAGCTGATGAGAGGAATATTGATGATACTAAACGGACACTGACCCGTAAAATCAATTGAAAGAACGAGACTCAAATTTACGATGAAAACGAAGTTCCCATACCGGGAGTCGAACCCGGGCCGCCTGGGTGAAAACCAGGAATCCTAACCGCTAGACCATATGGGACTAGAAATGAGTAATTTTCATTTAAAAAAATAATTAATAATCCTTGTTTTTATTCCACTATAAAACCCGAAGTAATTGAGTAAAAATTGACTGCACGCTTATCTCAAAGATTATTTAGCTAACTCTACTAAAGCCTTGCCAACCCTCAGGCATGTATCAGTTGTGATCGTTTGCTCTGAATGTTGAACTTCAAGTGCCCTCTTGTGTTCTCTTAATACAACTGCAATGACGGGACATAGGACACCATTCTTCAAAACGTGAAGTGCTCAGCAGGCGCAAGAGTTTACCCCATCAATAGGATTCTGTGTAATATATCTCCTGTATGGGAGTAAAATCTCCTGCCGAGAGAATCGTAAAATGAAAAAAAACATGTTCCTAAACAAATGACGTAATTGTCTCTGGGCTACTACAAACAGGGTGCTAAGGGGTTACTGTCTGATATAGAGAAATCACGCACATTGGAAAGAAGTTTAGCTTTACGTTGTCCGTTATACTGTTAAGACTCAGACTTATTCAAATCCCCTCATAAATTAAGTTGGATTTTATTTGGATCTACAGCACAACGTTGCGCAGTTACAAACATAATGTGGACCCCTCTTAGTTATCGTAAGTGGTATCGTCCTGTGAGGAGCAGAGCCAGCCAAATATTTGACAAACTAGCCACAGTTGGCTAGCAAGCTAGCTTCAAACTAAACATTGAATTAATATACATTGTCAATCGCCAGATACAGTATATGAGGTTTTAAGAATTTTCTATACACACGATGTCAACGCCAGCTAGAAGACGTTTAATGAGAGATTTTAAACGGTAAGCCAAAACAACTGTGTTAGCGTTACCGGCTAACGTAAGCTAGACAATCGGAACAGCTGACTATTACCAAAACCGGCGTTTTTTATATATTTCGACACATGATACTTTATTTCTTATCGTTAGTCCCATGCAGTTAAACGTGACATAAACTCAGGTAAGCTGGGCACTGTGGGTGCAATGTCCATGCCAAGCATCGTAATCATGCTAATGCTAACGCCGATTGGTGCAAAATAATGTTTACACCATCCGGGCTCTTATAGTACACAATGGAGTGATATGGCTTCGTTCAACCGAATTAAATATACAATTAAGATCTTGATGAATCGTATTGTTGTTGACAGTGTCCATATTTTATTTAATAGGCTCCAAGAAGATCCCCCTGCTGGTGTTAGTGGTGCCCCATCTGAAAATAACATTATGGTTTGGAATGCAGTCATTTTTGGGTAAGACACACAATTTATCTGTTACATTAGCATGTATTCTCTTGTATGTAAACTCGTTGGTATTTTTGTTGTGTTATCAGTCCTGAGGGAACGCCTTTTGAAGATGGTAAGCCTCATCTGAACAAGTACAGCAGTCAGCTTTAATGTAATAAACAAACTACTAAATTGAATATATTGTTGGATAATTACAGGTACCTTCAAACTTACCATTGAATTTACAGAGGAATATCCAAATAAACCTCCAACTGTGAGATTTGTCTCCAAAATGTTTCATCCAAATGGTATGAAAAAAGACTTCTGCAGAAATATGTGAAAATGTCACTCATTGCTTCGTTCTTCACAGTATATGCTGATGGCAGCATTTGCTTAGACATACTACAGAATCGTTGGAGTCCAACCTATGATGTGTCATCAATCTTAACTTCAATACAGGTATTGTGTTTACTTATAGTAGTATTGTGCAACATAACCAATCTCAATGTGTACCTAATGTTTTTTTTCTTTCTATTTTAAGTCATTACTGGATGAACCTAACCCCAACAGTCCAGCTAATAGTCAAGCGGCGCAACTGTACCAGGAAAACAAGCGAGAGTATGAGAAGAGGGTTTCTGCTATTGTTGAACAGAGTTGGCGTGACTGTTGACCCCTATAATACACATTCGACCATCAGTGTCTGGTCCACAACCAAGAAACTGCTTCAGAAAATTCATTTCATAAATATATAATTACATTGTAATATCCTAAGTACAGTATATTTCTCCCGTAAATGTTAAAAGTTTGTAAGCTGTTGTATTGTGGCATTTGACCCGTACGGATGCTGTCGTCTGGCAATAGCGTGTTAAAAGTTAATGTACCTTGTTATAACTGGGTTATTTGCCATATGCCCCAACCTATTTGCCTGACCAGCCAGAACCTCTCGCTTCTACAACAATTAAAAGTAAAATGTGAGGTCTTGCCTGGTCAAGAATTTTGTGACCGACAAAGTTTTATAGTCAGTCTAAGGTATTTTCTGTGTGGTTTGATAACAAAGTTGAAATTCATAAGGATTTTATTATTTGTTGTTGGCTCATTTCTTTTTGTGCATTTTAACAGCCTTAATATAGGGATCTTTAGTTAAAAAAATAAAAATAAACCTTATTTATTCCCTTTACATTTTGCGTTATCATTTCATCCACTTTCAAAAGTATTGAACAATTGATTTAGACGCCCCTTGTATATATTTTTTAAACGTATCTCCAGTGTAGGTTGTGATAATTTATTCTATTTGAAATAGACCTTTAGACAGTAACTTACATTTTCTAATTAAAAAAGATGTATGTTGACATAAGATTACGTAAAGATGTGGATTTATTGCTTTACACAGTGCTACAATTAAATTCTATAATGAGCATAACAATGTCTCAGCTTGACAGGAAAGTTCAAACTTATGAGGGATTTAAGAAATTAACTTGCAAAATTCAGCAGAACTTTAATGAAATCTAAATTAAACAGAACAAAATGTCACATTATAAACTGCTCACAGATATGAACCTATACAAGGTATTTATGCAATGTGCACAAATAAGTTCCCAAATGTTTTATACAAAAAAAAAAGCTCCATTGCCTTTTTAACATATAACGTCTTGACTAATCTGAAGCTTGAGGTTTTATGAGTGCATAACGCCCCACTTGTCCTTCCTGTAAAAGCTGTCCAATCAGTTGATCTTTGTGTACTTTGCGACTAACAACAAGACATCTCAATCTTCCTTGTCCATAAGACTTACTTCGGAGGCCGTATTTCTGAGATATCTGGTGGACCTGCTTCCTTTCATCATTGGTCAGTTCCGAGGAAAAGCGGAGATCATCTCTCCTGTCTGAAGCGACGTAGTTACGAATGACATCTTCCAGATCATGCTTTTTGAGCTGAATATCTGAGTCCAGGCCAAACCCTTCTCTCGAAAACTGCTCTTTCACTTTGATTGGTTCTGCAATACCTTCTCCATCTCGACCCAGCCCTCCACCTTTCCATCCCATTTTGCGCAGCAACTGGTTTCCAATATTATCTTCTTTAATTGTTTGTCTCATGTCCTCCACACCAGAGCGTCCCATTATCTGTGATCGTGATATGGCTTCAGCATTGCTAATATTTCGGATGTTTGACTTCACTACGGAATGTGTCTGCTTCAGGGTTTTCACAGCTTCATTTGCTGCAATATGCTTGACAGTTTTTTTAGACCCTTCTCCTGATGCAACAAACTGTCCTGCCAAATAAACATCACATTTCCATGATTGATTGGGCAGAACTGAGAACTTGTAGTCAGCAGCAACTTTATTAAACTGAGCAGTATCATTAATTATGCAAATTGCATTATCAGAATTTTCTAGAACGACTAGATCACTGCGATGCTTATTGTCATGCATAGGTCCGAAACCACCATCTTGTTGACTATTTTGCATTTTGTCAAAATGGGGCCGCTGATGTTGTCGCAGTTCCTGATTGTGCCGAAGCTTTGACAGAGCATCTTGGGCTGCTACATGTTTTGAAAACCGTTTATTGCCTGTTCCAGTTCCAAGTAGCTCACCTTGTACAAAAACGTTGCAAGCCCAAGTAATGTTTGGGAGCATCTCAAATTTGTACTCTATTTTCATGCGATTATAAGCTGCTGAATTGTTGAGAATGCATATTGCATCTTGAGCATTTTCAATAACCACAAACTCCCTCCAATGTTTTTGACTGTCAAGCTCAAACTGTCCTTTGGAGCTTGGTGGAGGCTTTTCGGCTGGGTTACATAGAGCAGGGACAAAGGGCGGGGTTGGACTGTGGGTCTGGCACACAACCATATCTTCAAATATTGTGTGTTTATATTTGCGCTCTACAACACGAACTTCAACTGGTCTCAAGAAAAGTCTCACAGCCTGCTCTGATGCACGGTCCCTCGCTCCGTTTTTACTGCCCGAGTATCCAGTCGCAAGAAAAACCTTCTGACATCGAAGCTCACAGGCATAACCATCAGATGGCATTTTCTTGTCTTTAGGCAAGTCTGCTGTGGGAATTTGCTTTAGGTTGATATAAGTGTATTCAGGGTTAGTTTTGCAAGCTTGGATGCTGCGACTTAAAATGAAATTATAGTTTGGTTCATTGTTTGCATTTTTACATGCTGGGTCTCCTAGAGCAACTTTAATTGCAGATGCTACATTGACAATTACCCTCTGCTTCTCATCTAGTGTACACTGAGATACTTTTGGAAGAGGAAACTGAATTTTAGGTTGAGAAACAGGGTAACTGTTGCTGCTGAAAACCCTACCGGTGGAGGGTCGGTTCCTGGGACTGTACCCTAGACCTTTCCTGTTCCAACCACGACATCCATTATACCTCTGGGGCAGAGAAAACAAGTCATCAGGGTTTGTAGAGGAAATTGCTTGAAATTTGGTTCTGTACTCTTTTTCTGTTCTTTCCATGAATGTAGATGTGGAGCTGCCATTTCCATAACCCAAGCCTGATGTCGATTCAGTAAACTCACTGCCATGGAAACTCCTGGAGCTGTAGGATGGCTCCCTTCCAAAGGCAGGTCCACTTCCTATCTCACTGAAGGATGGGCGATTATACTCCCCTTGTCGAAAACTGGCCACACTCCCCCCACTCAGGCCATTTTCTTTCTCGTGAGCTCTTTCTTCACTGACAAAGGGCACAGGTGCAAAGCCTGGCCGGGCGTTGAATTGAAACGCAGGAATCTTCCTTGGCGGCTCATCTCCTACATGAACACAGTTAATAAGTTCAGGTAACAAATCTGATGCCAAAATCACCTTCATAATTCCAAAAAAGGCTACAGCAAAATAAACATGCTAGAGAGGGTCTAAAATGTCACATTCATGTTCTCCCTGCCATAAAAAAACAAAATTATATATTTGATACTTACGGACATCTCGAGAAGAGAACCTCTTTCCTTGATTTGGGTAAAAAGGAATTTGGCCACGATAAAACCCTGCCATTTCTCCACCAGGACAAGTTATTCCTGATGAAAAAAGTTTTTTAGAGGTTATTATAAAATACTCATTTTTTTGCCAATGGAAACATGCAGTAGAACATTACAGGAACAACAGCAATAACCATTTAATATTTTTTACAACCGACTCATGCTCAAAACCCACACCTTGCAGCTTTTAGGTCACGGTCAACTGTATTCATATTCGTAATTCTATAATGTTGTGATAGCAGTAACCTGGTCATCTGCATGCAACATTGGCAATAAAGTGTTAAAACTGCATTTCTGGGGCGGGGGGATCAGACATACAAAAGTTTATAACATTTCGACAAAAGATGGAACCCCTTCAGTATCTGTCAGGTTTATTTTGAATCAGTAGTTTATGAAGATGCAAGCTATTTACGTGCATCTTCGTTACGGCTAATGTATTTACAGTCCATGGATATGACAGACAAGGGGAATTTCAAACACTAAATTACCTCGAGCTGTGATCCAATTGAGCAAAACCAGTTTGAAGACTAAGAGCCCGTTCAAATATTGATTACAAACACGTTCGAAACCATAGTACACGCTCCAGTCCTTCTGATGATAGCATTAGCTTTAGCATGTTGGTCCGGATTCAAAGTATTACGAAAACATCCTCCGATTAATCTCTCTTTTCCTTTGTATTGTTGCGCTATGACGGGGCGCAAGAATGTATGCTTATAAGAGCGGGAATAAAACGAAGAGTAAGCTGAAGAATTAACTATCTATTTCCACGAAAACAGACATCTCAAACAGGAAATACCCACAAGACACTGCAGCTCGTGAAGCATCGCTGGCTCCTCCCACAAGCGGATCCACTGACGTCACGATGGTCATGATAGACTTTAGAGAACACCATTTACAACGTTTTTAATAATAGTTCCATCATACAAATACACAAGTCATCGTCTTAAATTCATAATTGTTTTTATTGAAAATGTACAATATTATAATCAAACTTGAGTAACAATGAACTGAGCAAATGGAATGTGGGAGGTTTGAATAGTCAAGGTGAAAACTGATATTTGAAGAAATGTAAATGTTATGACATCTAATGTTACGTCACACATTGAATAACATCTAAAGATCATAGGTAATAAACAACAAATGTTCACTTCAATACACAAAATATATCCTTATAAATAATATAAATGCATCAGTATACCTCAATACAATACTGACAACTGGGATTCAATTCACTTCACTTTTTTGTACTACTATTTGGCAGAAAGGGTGGAGTTGTAGGTCATTAAAAAACCAATATACAGTAAAATTCACCATTAAAAAAGCTGTAATCAAGTTAAGACTGCTTGCTGTCAAGGGATGAAAACAAGTGTCAAAAGCAAAGCATGTTAAATACCTAATGCACATGCAAGGAAATTTTAGAACATAGCAAAAACATAAAAAACAAAACGCAAAAAATAAAGCACACTTTAAAAAGGCCTTTTTGATGTGACGCCAAACAGTCTTATGTGCAATGGCCATGGTAACAACAGTAGGCAAACTGTTGGCCTGATGGGACATCATTTGACTATTGTATAATGCGTAATGTGTATAAATGTCTGAGGAATCATAATGTATTCTGAAATTAACAAATCATATTTTTACATACTTAAATGTTGTGTGGTGATGGTTATCCATTAACAAGAGTCCATTTAGAGCTCCAATGTGATCAGAGCATATCAAAATATATTCATCAATGCATTATGTAATGAGTGTCCACATGTCAAAAAATGACATTACTGGTGCCAAGTTTAGAACATTGGCGGCGTCTCATAAGGTATTTAGAAATACCATGCAAATAACATAAGGCCATGATTAACAAGGGTGTTGCAGTAGAGGGGGAAAACTGGTGGATACAGTCAGAAAAAGGAAGGAGTTAAAGATGTTTGATTCTTGTTGAAGATGCATTTCCGTCTTCAACTGGTCTAGACAGTTTAAAAGAAGCTGAAGAGATAAAAAAAAAAGAAGAAGACAGGGTTGAGGTTAGTAAAAACCAAGCAAGAGGTTAAGCGTGAAAGTTTTAGGACTGGTTGGTCTGATTCACTTTAACAAGAACGATTCTGGTTCACTTGGGGGTGGGCATAAAAACACCAAACAAGTCATCTTTTGAAACACATCAGCAACATTTTTTCCCAAGTGAACCAGACTGGATCCAGTTTAAATAAACTGTGTTAAAGTAAACTGTGAAAGAAAGATAAGAACTTGAGTTGTAGCCGCAAGGACACAAATTGCCAGAACAGTATTTTAACCCAAGTTAAACCTTATGTGAGAAGATGGCATAACGGGTCGAGCAAACTGAAAGAAAATTGAGGTTAGTGACAAGGGATACAAGTACAGCAGTTCATGGATTGGGAAAAGCTACACAAGCCGCAGACAGTACAATACAAGACCCATTTAAGGTAAAGCGGGGAGAGGTTAGCGACCATGAATGGATGTGTCCACAGTGCGTCTGGTCAGGACCAAGGACCTACTCTGTGCAGAGCCATGGATTACTGCAAATGAGAGCAATACACAAACCAGTGAGCTGACTATGGAGCAATTATTCTCATTTCAAGATACAATACTTAACCCCCAACACAACTGTATTTCAAATTGTTACACACAATGAGTATACCGAGTTATAAAATTAGGTTTTTATTTTTTTGTTTTATATATTGCTATATTTGTCCTCCAATACAAACAATAGTGGCCCCCACAATGGGTGCCGATGTATGACGCTTTGTGCCTTCATTTAATGATGTATATTTTAAAAGAGAAAGATACAATTGCACTGATACAGTACTTAACATGCCCCATTTGTGTATTAAAACGTGCCACAGGTGAAGGCTGAGGCAAGGAAGCAAAAATAATGAACTACAGTATAGGTGACATGAAATTAGATTAGATTGGTTCTATACATGCATTAGGCTAGAATGAAAATGCATTAGGACAGGGACATAGTTTGTTCTAGCACTTAGCGATTATGTTCTGTCAATGTGTAAAACAAACTGGGTAAATGTGTGACCCAAGTTCCCCTTATAGATTATTATGATTGGAGCTTGATCCCATAAACTAGTCCCAGTATCAATTGCTTCACTTTAGCCCATACATTTGTTTATCACAAAAGTCACGAATGTTAATATACAACAGAGCACTACACCATCTACCATGCAAACTAACAAAATAAAAGCATAATCTCCAGACTGTGATAAAAACGTAAAAAAGTACAACTCTGGGGATATTAGATATAAGTAGTACATTCAGCAGTGAGAAGCTTTGCCCAACAGCTTCCACAAACAGTGGAGGGTTACACATGAGGGATCAGGTGAGGGTGAAGCTGGGGAAAAGGGAGGTAGGATGGGGTAGAAAGTCATTCACAGCGATATGGCCACAAGCGTCTCTACAGGAATCCTTCACTGAAAATAAAACAGAAGGTCTGTTAATGAATTCTTAGTAAACTGGACACATGGTGTGAGTGGATATTATAGGCAGCAGTGACATGGGATTGTAGGCATAAGCAAGCTACTTTTACCCTGGATAAACTAAATGCACTTAGAAATACAATACTTATACTAATACTTGAACCTTTACACACCCAGGCATTAATTACATTAATTTGGCCACATTTTTTTAATGTGGACTTTTAGAACGATAAAACTAAACCTTTTTTTACTAATAATATTTAATCACACAACCACTAATGATGATAAGTATAAAGTTGTGCCAATCTGAAGTTATATTTTTGTTTTAAAAATTACTGTCTGGGTGGATAAACTTGCAAGCATAGCTGTATATAGTGTATATCTTGGGCTATTCGACCTCAGTTTTTATCAACACATGTGGCTCTTGTATCAATTCAAGAGGGTCGTCACATGGCATCCAGCACAATATGTAATCTCGATAAACAAATGCCCAGAGGCAGTTTTCTGAGGAAGCCTGACCCGATAGTCTTGAATAGTTCTTTGTACAAGCTCAAAGAAGGGTGGGGAAAGCAAAGCTACATAAAAGGATCCATTGTGGGTATCGGGAGGCAGAGGGCACAGTTCTTCAAAATGTGTGCTGTATGAGAGTCTAATAATCTGGATTATTCATTATCTTAATCATCTTAATTGATGGTATTAAAAGCAGCAATATGTAAAAACTGGCCAATGGAACTGCAATCACGGTCCATATATTTGGTGAGTTGCACTAAAGAAACATAATATTCAAAGACGATTTAGCCTATTCATTTTCATAATATAGACTAATTAGACTATATTAATAAATTGTTTACATTGTTTTATTTAGTAATATGGCATAAAAACACATAGATCTATTATCTAAAGATAATAACAATAATATTCATGTTGCCCCAAACCAACAAAGTTAGTTCTTAAAAGGAATAGTTCACCGTTTTTACATACTGACATATGTTCTTACCTTACCTTAGACTAGTTAATATGTACCTGTCTGGTCTTAGTCCGTGCGCTCTGTCATGCAAACGGAGCAAAAACGGGAGCACAAACGCAGCCTCCTCTGTATACTGTGTAGGACCAAAAGGTAGCTCCCGCTAGAAGCTACCAAACTCTTCCAAGTGTTCCCTATTAAATGTATATAGTTACGTGACGTGTTACACTGCAAAGTATAGTAACACAGAAATGTAACAGTCGATTTTCTCAGCGGATAAAACGGGTACTATATTGTGAGGCGTAGTAATCTGAGGAGCGCTACGTCCGCGCACTAACTTCTCTCCGGAGACTTCTCTCTCGCTCACTTCCGTCAATAGAAGCAGCGTGACTTGTAGTACGGAGAGAAGTTAGTGCGCGGACGTAGCGCTCCTCAGATTACTACGCCTCACAATATAGTACCCGTTTTATCCGCTGAGAAAATCGACTGTTACATTTCTGTGTTACTATACTTTGCAGTGTAACACGTCACGTAACTATATACATTTAATAGGGAACACTTGGAAGAGTTTGGTAGCTTCTAGCGGGAGCTACCTTTTGGTCCTACACAGTATACAGAGGAGGCTGCGTTTGTGCTCCCGTTTTTGCTCCGTTTGCATGACAGAGCGCACGGACTAAGACCAGACAGGTACGTATTAACTAGTCTAAGGTAAGGTAAGAACATATGTCAGTATGTAAAAACGGTGAACTATTCCTTTAACATCAGTGAAAAGATAAGCGCTAACAGCAACAATTTGGGCAAAGAAAGGGACGTAAGCAGGAATCCCCTGTTCATATGTGTGTGTGTAGCTCCACACACAAACCGCAGCAGCTGCTCGTGAGACACCGAGAATGGCAAGACCGAGTCCGCAAGCGCGGCTCACCGTGTGCAGGGTGAGGTTGGACCTAACTGGTCAAATGTGGCTTCTCACACACTCGTGGACAGTACCTAATCGTCACTGACAGAGCTTTCGGCTCTCACTTTTTCTAGTCAGAGAATGAAGCCTGCGCTCCAAACACGGCAGAATTACACGGCCACGTTGTCTGTGCTGGCGGCACTGGACACTGGATTTTATTTTGTGCGCAGGACAGAGTTTTCTGTGCGCAGGACAGAGTTTTCTGTGCGCAGGACAGAGTTTTCTGTGCGCAGGACAGAGTTTTCTGTGCGCAGGACAAAGCACTGCGCAGGCACACAGCTTAGAGGGACCACTGCTCTACAGGTGTTGGCTGATCATTACAAGTTGTATATATGGATTATGGCTGATTTCTATTAGGTGCGCCAAACACTATTATATCTAATAAGACATCTGGCATGATTTAAAGCGGCGCTGTGTTTACTGTGCACTCGTGTATTGAAAAACATTCAAAAAGACAGATTTGAACCCAGGTCACTGCAGGAAAAGCACAGTAGCATGACAACTGGACCACCACCCTATCCAGTATAGGTGGGTGCTCCAACTCTAGACGGGTTAGGAAAGTAGCAATTTTTGCGTCAGATGAAAAGCTTTTATCCACCTTCAATTGTCTACATCTAAAAGCATCGCCATTGGAAATCCTCCTATAATTCCCTGTTTTGTCATTAATGATTTGAGAATCAAACCGAGACCTGTTATCGGTATTAACATGTCACTTCACCAGTGAGATTAGCAAGATGCAGTGAGTTCTGGCAACCCGGATCACAGACTTTCTGACTGGTGGAAAAATGGAGGGTGGGACATAGAAATGAAAACAATAACAAGATTTACGGACTGTAAATCCAATTTTGAAATTCACGTATTCCGGCTTAACTACTGATATCAGTTAAAAAAAGTATTCGAAAAGAGCATTGTTTATTCTTGCCTTTTGACATATTAAGGCCATTTAATGATGACTTGACATTCAATTCTTACATATTGCTACTTTAAGTGTTGTAGAAAACTGAGAAATATTGTCTTATTCAAAATATACTCATATTAGGCAAGATATCTGCAAAGCCTTTTTTTGTCAACACACCTTACCAGAATATGTGCCTCATGCAGCATGCAGCAAGTTTGGAAGAAGTTAACTGGAAAACATTATGGATGCAAAACAGGTTTAGACACGCACTCACAAGACATTTATACAGACTGTAATTGAAATCCTGGTTGATCTGAGACCAGCTTTTTAGTGGTTTTTGCAGACTAAAAATGTATCATAAAAAACCGGTGACAGTGTTCTGAAGGCGCAGAGAGCTGGCTGTAGAAAAGTTATACAATAAAATTAAAGCAAAGACAGAAACCTTTCAGTGCAAGTGTCTTCTTCCTTTTTTAACAGGCACCGAGTTACATCAGCTTCAACAGAAGACCAGCACAAGATTAAAAGAGAAAGTACCCACAGTGCAAGCACCATATATGGAAATGACAGATTTGTAGTTCTGTTATTGAATGCTGGGCAGGGATCTCTCAGCTGCTGTCCTGCACCTGTAGTGGCAAAGGCAGAGCCCCCGGGAAAAAAGGTATACTTACTTTTTCCTCTCTTTGTCCCTCTTAAGTGTGGTAGAAGCCCCTGCCTGCTGCGCCTGGTTCAACAGTAGCTCTGCCGCAGTCTTTTTCTGTTTGAACATGTTGAGCTCATCATCCAAGGACTTCTTCTTTTCCTCGAGTTTCTTTTTCTCATCTTGATGGAGTTTCTTCAGGCTGTCAAACTTTTCATGCAGCTGGATGAGAAGAGACAATAGTTCAGTAAAAATAGACTCGGAAACATTATCAATGAAGTGAGCGTGTATACCTCCTTCTCAGCCTCTTTCAGCTCCGCCTCCTTCTCTTTCACTCTCTGGACAAACATTTGCCTCATTTCCTCCTCCTTTTTCTGCAGCTCACCCATAAACTCATTTCGCTTTGCCTCATATGTTTCCTGGAGACTGTAGATGATACATATGAATTTACAACTCGAATGGGTGTGGGGGATTACTCAAAAACAACAATTATAAGATGCATAATAATAAAGTTATCGGAAACAATGCAATTGTATAAACTTGATGCAAACACATTGCGCCTCCCCTATTAATCACGTATTAGCTAGAAATTAAAGTGATATATTTTAGTGGACTGATTAATGGTAAAATAATGGTCTAAGCTCTCAAACTAATTAAAAGGCATGGTATTATCTGGTGTTAGAACCATAGAAAGAAAAAAACAGTTCTCACAATTGGCCACAATACAAATGAACTAATTAATTTACAATAAAAAAAAAAAAATGCCAGTAATAGTAGTGGTTGAGTCTCATCTATTCTGTAAAGGTGAGCATTTAACATAAAAAAACAATAGATAATGATTGTCATTTTGCATTTGCTTAGAAGAATGTTTAATTATTGTATTGCAATCACCTCGCTACGCAGAAGCAAATTATTGACTGTGTGTTGTTAACATTGTATGTGAGTAATAAACTTTTCTATTCCACTGCATGTGTCGAGCAGTGTGTGATTACCTAAATGGCTTGCTGTCCGGGTCTGTATCTTTGAAGCCCATCTCTTCCAGTTTGCAGCGGCGATAAAGCTCATAGTGACGCGCATGTGTCTGCTCCCGCAAGTCCTCCATGTTTACTCTGATCAGCATTTCCCGTAGTTTAACAAAGTCACAGTGATTCTCATTCTCCACTGTGAACACACAATGCAGGTAAGAGAGTGTCCAATCTACAGTCAAAACAACTAAAAAGATATGCCAAATTGTCTCGCTTCTGTCATTGCCGTGTGGAGTGAATGGAAAAAATATATATGTAGATAAAGACCATTTTCAGTTATAGTTCTAAAATGACACTACAGCAGGCAAATGTGTTATATAATGCTCAAGCAAATGTGTGAGGGTTATGCAAATGACGTTATCCCTGCTCTGAAGCTTATATAAAATAACACAGCTTTCTGGATTGACACTGAAGTACTGAATATAGATTTTTAGCTTTTGGCTGGACTAACAGCACAGCCTCCACACACAATCAATAATAGAGTGATTTACATGGATTCACAACAGAGACAAACATAAATCTAACTTGATACACAACTAATAGACAGACTTTTCTCCAGTCAACACAGAAGTCAGTAATTATAGGGTCATATTCAGTCAAACACAATCACTAAAAGCTGCAGATAGCTCGCTTTGTGGAGACAAGAGGGGTTATATAACAGACTACCAATGCATTTGCAGTTACTGCTGCTGCCTCCAAGGGTGATGTTGAGTGAGATGTTTCAGATGGGACAGAGTGAGTTCCTGTGTCCCGTCAAAAGAACTTACCCTGCACGGTCCCCCAGGGGTACTGCCGGGCCTTCACCATCTTGTTTCCAATCTTCACCTCCTCTGTGCTCCCCACCACAGCAAAAGGCAAATGGCTCTATAATGAAGGGGGGGGGGAAAGGGAACCCAAGAAAACATTTAAATGGCAGCCCAAAATGTGTTTGCGAGCCGAGGGCGTTAAACTCAATATGAGTCATCAGCCCGTTACTAGTTATGTTTTATTTAAAAAGGAGCAATTTGTTTATATATTTTGTAATTTAAAAGAATGAGTTAAAGCATGTCTTACATTCATTGAGGAGTTGATCTCGGCCACGGACTCGTCGTCAGTAGGGAACTGATAGATTTGCACTCCATTGCTCACCAGCTCACTTGTGATTTTGATTTTGAACTTGGCCAGCTCACTCTTAGAGATGGCATCAGACTTAGCAATAATGGGGATGATATTAACCTATAGGAAACACACAAATAAATAAGACAGCCATTATAGTCAACTGGCATCCATTGTATTATCAAATTTGTAATTTTAAATGTATGCCATTGCATTTTACATGAAAGAAATACAGCAGAACTTTTTTCCTCTCTGCAGTCCGACTCATAACACACCATAACACATCACTGACCCCTGCTCTTTACTTATACTACTGTCACTTTACTTAGTGCACTTGTAGTAGCAATTTGAAGACATTTAATGAGGACTTTTTTATGCAAGCCTTTACCCTTTTTCTCTTACAACGTGATTGCACCTTGAGCCAATGCAAACCTCTTGTTTGTGACCTCTTGTTACTTACAATGGCAATACAAATAATTCTGATTAGAATGAATGATGCATACAAAATTGTATAACCCAGAAAGCACAATAATTTTATTATACAATATGTCATGGGTAAATGAAGAGGTCTAACCTTACTATCCAGTTTCTTCATTGTGACCAGGTCCAGGGATTTAAGAGAGTGTCCAGTAGGTGCAATGAAGTACAAGCAAGCATGAATGCGGCTGTCATGGTAATTGTGCAAGGTCCGCTTAATTTTCAGCTCCTCCTGAAGATATGCTTCAAACTGAGTATCAATAAAATCCACAATGGGTTTGTAGCTGCGAAGTAATAAAACATAATATGCACATTATTAGTATAAAAATAAACAAAAGAACAAACATGAGCTTAAACCAAAACTGACAAGCAATGTTACCTTTCATCTTTATTGATCTGGTCCCCAAAGCCCACTGTATTAACAACAGTGAGTTTCAGACGCACATTGCTCTCCTGCAGCTCATAGGTATTTGACTTGAGGGTAACTCCTGGCTGATTGTGCTGGTTCGGGTCACCTTCAAACTTTGTGTTGAATAAAGTGTCCATTAAAGTGGATTTTCCCAGACCAGTCTCGCCTGGAAAATGAATACGGTTGTCACATAAAAAAATACACAAGAAATAGTAAATGCATAGTTTACAATTCAGAGTTTTAAATATAGTAAAATGCACTAGATCGGGATACCCCAGCAACATTGGCGCTGCAGATCATTAGTTTCCCATCAAGTAAAAGTATAACATAAAAAAATTAAGTATGCAACATGGGCTATGCTTGTGTAAAATGTAAGAACGAGCTACTCTGTCATATTGTCAGCCATCAGATGACTCAATTACATAGCTCGCGCTCTATCTTTTTCTATTTTTAATCATTCTGGCCTATGCTGCGGGACCGGCCTATTGACCCATTTTTGAACAATCTGAATCTTCACTGAATCTTTCTCAATCCCTACACTTTCCATTCAGCTCTGTTAATATGTTTTTTATAAATATTATTGTGCATATTAATAATATTTATAAAAAAACATATTAACAGAGCTGAATGGAAAGTGTAGGGATTATTGTGCATATTGGGGGCGACAGTAGCTCAGTTGGTAGAGCATTGGCCTTTGAGCCTGAAGGTCGTGGGTTCAAGCCCACCATAAGACCTACTTCACGACTCCCACTGATGACTGCTGTCGTTGTGTCCTTGGGCAAGACACTTAACCCCACTTTGCCCGAAGCCCCCACTGAAAGATCTCAGCTCCTGTGGACTCACCACCTGCAGGAGGATCAGTGGGGGGCTGGTGCTCTGTGTACTGGGTGCAGCTCTGACTGCCACCCCCCCGACCCAGAAATGGATTAAGGGGAAGAAAATGGATGGATGGATGGATATTGTGCATATTATCTTTTTCATATATTTTCCCCCTAAAGAAATGTTGACTATTGAAATGTATATAACATATGAACAATGTGATCAATTAAAAACTGATAGTTAGATACTGTAAACAATTAAGAGAGCCGAGTTGAAATAAAAGCCCAACACTAACTGCATGACTTTCCAGCCCAACACTAACATATGACTTTCACTGAAGCAGAGTTATCTCATGACCTGAAGAACAAGACACATTTCATGCATGACATACTCACCAATGCAGAGGATGTTGAAGCAGAAGCCATGGTTTACAGATTTGTTGACCAGCTGGTCAGGCATACTGTCAAAGCCAACATGGCCTGACAGAGGAACAGCACGAGCACCTTCACCCTGTTCAGGTGAATAAGAGGTTAATAAAAAAAGTATATTTTGTACCTTCAGCTTAGATTAAAATAATATATTCAAATTACTCCATTTACCAGTTAGGGTATAATAAAGCATCATCTATGGAGGAAAGTGTTGTGTGTGAGTGGGCGTGTGGTTGGCTGTGAGCAGTTTCATTTATCTGATTCTCTACAGACCACCTTAAAAAGCATTTAGGAGGATTTTCCCAAAATGTAGGAAAAGGGCAGTTACCCTTTCCACTTTTTGAAAAAGTGGAGAGGGTGCTTTTCCTCCAGAGTGATTGATAATTAGGAGGAATAGCCTTGATAATCCACTCAAACGTAGGAAATCCTCCTACATAACTTTAAGAGTAGCCAGGTAATCTAGTAAAATGTCTCAATATATTTAAATATAAATAACAGGTAGAAATATAAACAACATAATGTGCAAAACAATGTGGTATTTTTTTTGAGAGAAGAGAATACAACTATAATCCCAGGCTGCCATTATGTGGTTAAGGCTACATAACATTTCTTCCTAAAATGTTAAAAGGGAATACACATTCCAGTTTAAAATATCTAGTTCTGTCAGACTTCCCTTGGATTGGATTGGATTGGATTGTGTGTGTGTGGGGTATAGTCCCACCTGCATCAGACAAGCACATCTGCACATTGAAGAATGCATTTCAAAATGCATTATAGAATAATAAAAGTCCATACAAACATATAATCTTACCATAGGCATTTACATTATTCTACATAGACAACGCCCGAAATGTAACTTAACGGGACAGAGACATAGCGGAAATGAGGACCCATTGAAATTAGGGCGTTCAAAAATAAATAGTAGAAAACATAGGCACATAAAGTAGTTATGACATAATTAAAACAGCTGTGAATAGCAACTTCATAGAAATTAGATAAAAATTATTATTTTAATTTTTTGGTAGCCACACGGCCCAGACATCACTCGTCCTACTATCACATCGTGTTGATTTAAAAATCAGACATGTAAGCAATTCTCACTGCGTGCTTTAAACTAGACAGAACTAGTACAACACATATACAGGCATCCTTTGATAATTGTGATATTTGGCGAGCTGTTTTAATTCATTAGCTTAGACTTCAAAGACTAGTGCTAGCCTCCGCAATAAAACTCAAACACACACATTTTGGGACTCGCTAAAAACTGGCATATTAGTTCGATTATCGTTTGGAGGCGGTAGATAAATAATAGATCGATGAAGGTGTCTCTACAGAAGAATACTCACCGCTTGCCTTGCTATCTCAGTAGACGCCATGGTCGCTGCTGGAGCTTCAGATCTCGGCCGCAGCTGCTTCGCCGAGGCGCTTGACGGTCCTGAGGGAAGTACCATTTCATTTGCTTTATTATTGCATGTAGGCCTAATTGGACATTATTTGAAAATAATATGTTATTTAGACTGTTGGCTTTACGTAATAGTTATAAAGATGCAGTATTGTGTATAATTTAGAATTCTAACAGCTAGTTTATTTTCCAAAGGCGACCCCCGCAGATTTTTTTGGACTCGTCTGATTGTTTTTATTTTTTATTTTATAGTTCATCATCAACTTTACGAAATTATCAGTAAAATGTGTAAAATATACATATTATTATTTTATTCAACAGTTATAATAGTATTATTCTGGAAAATAGATCTGTCAACGCTCGTCCCGCCCATAGAATGTAAGTCCCGCCCATGGGTCCCGCCCCAACAATGCTCACTTCCGTCCAACTGACCAATGGGAGGAGAGCGGTTAGTTTAAAAACGTACCTTCGGTTACATACCAAAACATTGTCATTGAACGCACTCTATCTTGGAAGAGGACGCAGGTATGATAGTTTAACGCTACATAACTGATACGCAATAGTCCCGTTACATATTATTCATCTCTACGATTAACTTGCTGCCCTACTCCATCTGTTGAAACGTTCTGAGTCACGCTAACTCCTTGTCTCTTAACGTTAGCACCTTGATAACTTTTAGATGTGTACCATGTCAATTAATCGTGGTTAATGATCAACTGTTCTCGTTTAGATACCATGTCGAGCATCCAGTTTGAGCAGGAAAACGCCTGTCTTCATCCAACAGGATTTAGGCAGCGACTACAGTCCGCTCCAGGTGAAAGGGCTCACCAAGTGAAATGTTTATCATAGTGGTTCACTCTGATATTATTTTAGTGAAGTGATCTGATACCTGCTCAGATGGTTTAGGAAAAACTCATTCCTCAATTCTAGGTGAATATAGTGCTTAAAGTGTTTGCTTTATTTATTTTTGTAGCTGCTGCTCTCTATGGGAAGCACAAAAGTATCAAGGAATACTGCTTCCGGCCACATAACTGCATGTGAAATCCAGTTTTGTTAGTATCTTTCAAAAAGTAAGCATCGTGGTGGGTCTACGGGAAGATTGTTGCTGCGCCGTCAGCGGTGACACAGCCTTGGTGTTTCAGCAGGAGCTTCAGGCAATGTGGGGTTAAGTGTCTTGCCCAGGGACACAACAGCAGATATTAGTGGGAGCAGTTGGCATAGGCCTCGTGGGGGTTCCAACTCTCTACCTTCAGCCCAAAGGCAAATGTGCTATCAACTGAGCCACTGTCACCCAAAATATGTACATATCTAAATTTTTTTTTTTTTTTTATATATATCAGGTAAACTACTTAAACCATCTGCTAGTGGCAAAAATGTCCATGCCAGTCTTCAGCCTGGACGAAAGGCTTTGGGGATGGTCAACAAAGTACCAAATGCTACCCCATCCACCCAAGTGCACAAACTGTTAAAACCTCAGGTAGGCCAGTTGACACTTATTTATATTTATGTTTAACTAACTTTGTGCTTCTTGTTTCCAGGAAACTGAGGTGAAGACTACTCTAATCAAATCTGACAAGTATCCAGACATTGAGAAATTCATCCCCTATGACCCCTTAGGTACTTACTACTGAAACAATTTGAAGTGAAGGTCAGATCCCATCTGACCACTGACCAGGGAAGGGCCTGGTTAGTGCTGCGATGGGGACGTATGGGAACTCGAGTGCCACAGTGGGGTGGCGGTAGTGTTTGGGCAAGTCGGTTCACCCACAATGCCTAGAAATGAATTTGATGGAGCTGATGGCACACCCTGGTTGCCTTGCTTCTATCAATTGGCCACAGCTGCCCTGAGGCACATAGTAGCTTATCATTGTATGTTGTGAATGAATGACCTGTCCAAAGCACTCTATAAAACAAACCTATTGAGTTTGAAGTTTTTGTTTTTCCCCAGAATTTGAGAAGTACTCCATACCGGAGGATTTGCTTCCCCTGAGTAGGCTTGCCCTTCCAGGATTGGCTGAATTGCCACAAGCGCATCTACCTGAGGAAAACTCTGTGCTTCCTTTAATCATGTCTCCAGTTAAAACCCTGACAAATTCTGGTAAATTGCAGTTTTGATTTTCTATACTGAAATTATACTATTTACCATATGTGCTCTTCAGGTTATTGCCCAGCATTGACTGAATTTCTTCACACACTGGATACACTGACTGTAGAGCTTCCCCTGGAATTTTCCCTCGACTAAAGTTTTATTTTCTATGCATTGTTTTAATAAAGTTTTTTTATTTTTACTAACCTGATAACTCTATTAAACTTCCTGGTTCAAAGCCCATCAGTACACTTGTCACGTGACTCTTTGCATTGCTGTTGCTGACTAACTGAACTTTGGTCTCAGTTCCTCTTTGAGTTTGCCTCTTATGCTCTGAAACTACATTTTCAAGTATAGTTGCTTGTGACGTTTAATGACACTGTCAAGACTCAGGAATTGAGAAAATTGGGCGTTTTGGATCGCAATGTACGGGGGCACTAAAGATTCAAATTACCACGAAAATGCCAGTAAAACACGGGAGTCAGGACGCCAGACAACGCAGCATTGTGGAGCGGCTGTCAAGATATGGGATGCAGGTCATGCCCGGTGCTGTCCAGCGTAGGACGCGGCTGCAGAGGGAAGAGAATGACAGCTGTGTGTTGGATAGGGCGTCGATTACAGCGGCTATGCGGAAAAACTACTTGAAAGAACTGGTCAAATCTCCAAGAGGACAAAATGTTGACTCTTCAAACGGAGCGTTCTCAGACCACCGAAAGCTTGCAGATTGGGCTGTCTATCAAATGGAGCACGCATGGATGCTGTCTGCTGTAGAAGGAAAGTATGACACACTGCTGGAGTTTATATCTGAGGACCCTCAGCTGATTACCAGAAGAGACTTCATCAGTGGCTACACAGTTCTGCACTGGCTAGCCAAAAGTGGACGGGACGATACCCTGCTTCAGCTCTTGAATTACGCTCAAAACGTTGACTTGAAAGTCGATGTGAATATCCGCGGAAGCGGAGGGCTCACGCCGCTGCATCTGGCCAGTATACATGGCCAATACATGGTCATTAAACTATTGGTTGGGGCATTTGGCGCTGATGTCGACGCTATGGATTACAACGGGAAAAGGGCATGGCAATACCTAAAGGGAAATGCACCATTGGAGATAAAAGAGCTACTAGGGACATGGGATGAAGATCACAGTTTGACTAATGTAAATAATAACTGTACTGATATATTTGAGCCACCCAGTTTGGATAAAGTCAATTGTGAACCACAGCAAGATAACTTTAGCATGACTCAAGGTTGGAGAAATGATTCCTTCAGGAAACTGTTCAGTTCCTTCACATTTCTTGGAAGGAATTCTCTAAGCCTAATGTCTACTCAGAAATAAACATTGAACTTGACAAGATGTGCATTTTTTATTGTATTTTATTAAACATGAGTATATCCAGAGTATCTGTACAAAAATGTTGGTGCTCCAGATAATATGGTCACTTCCAGCAGCTGGAGGTTCAGGCCACTGTCCAGACAATCCCTCATGTTTACAGCCCAAGCTTGGTCCTCCTCCAGTGTCTCCTCTTAGAGTTGTACCTGGAATTTAAAAAAGATCCTTTTAGTAACACTAAACTTGCAATCAAAATACATATGACTAAACTTGGGTCTGAAAATGTAATGCATTCTACATTAAAAAAATATATCTGCCACGGAGTGTCCACATCCTACATCATACAGAAATGCAGAAATACTCCAATGGAGAGATTCTCTCTGCAGGATTAATGACAACACTCCACAGTTGAAGCGCTGCAATTGCAGACCTGCATTACACTGAAGGTCAATACACCCTTTGTTTTTCACTTGAGATAATATCACTATGCAATATTAATCTTGAGAAATGTAGTTTTGTAATTGTTAAAAACACTGTTACGTACAATTACATTTAAATACCAAACGTAATTTCCAACAAGAGTGGACTTGTTTTAACTATGAAACACACCAGTTTTAGTATTGTTAAAATCCACCTCAGTACTTCCAAAATATATATTTCATGCATACAACTGACTACATTGAAGTAAAAAAAAAAAAAAAAAAAGGCTGGTTCGTGATTAAAAGTATGGAATCAATCTTTAGTCAAATTGCATACCCATCAACAGAGTAAATGTTATTCGTTTGACCATAACTAGATGCGGCTCAAGGTAGGCCAACCATGATTATGGACGTATCACTACAACAACTTCACCATTGTGAGATCCATAAAAAGGTTTTCCATAGGTTTTGTTTTCAGAGTATTCTAATTAGAAATGTTGCAGGATAGCATTAGTTTACCTGATCTTGTTTCCGGTTTTCATCCTGATCCACTGAGGAATGGGTCGGTTCTGTTTCTGCTTCTTAGCAAGGAAGCGCTTTATTCTGAACGTCTTGTGAGAGGACTGCAAAAAAAATAACATTGGGTTACATTGAATTGTTAATCATCAGCAATCACATAAGTAAAGTGAATAAATGTGTCCCGTGTGAACCAGCGAAGATTAGTTTCATACGTTCATATCTACTTAATAATAATCACTATACAGAACATATATGGTTCCGTGCGTTGGGAAGCGTCGTGGCTTTGCTATCAAACCAGATGAACGAGTTGAACTGATGAAATGACGGAGATGTTTAGAGATTTCGTGTTTACCATTTTGTCCGCAGCCTCCTCTCAACTATGGCGGCAGTCAAAGAGAGAGACGGAAGCGACGCAGCGACTTTAACCAATCAGCGGCCATCGTGTTGGCGCTCGGTCACCACACAGCGACTCCTGGTGGCAATAATTAATACTTACAGTCAAGGGTGGCAACTGTTTACAGGTCGTTCTACAGAAATAATATAAAGAGCAAGAAAGCATTGCACACTTACGATAAACATGTGTGTATTTTCCCTTCTTTGGTCCAAAGGGGGATACATTAGAATGAATAATGTGATGAAGGTTGTAATTCCCGAAACGTCATGAAATAAAAACTTATTTTGGATATAGTGTTGTGTTCCTGGTGGTCTTTCTGTGTGTTGTCTGCATACCAATGGATGAATAGATAATTAAAATGGGATCTAAAGTAGAACCTTGCTCAACACCACATGTAATTGGGACCGTTGAATAGGCTAAATTACCCATGTTGACCGCAACGCTTGTCTGAAAAAGAAGCTAAAAGAATTCAAATAGAATGCTTTCCTCTGTTTGTGGCAAAATGAAAGGTCGTTTGAAACTTGAAAGGAGGGGTAAAAACCACGTGTGCGGAAGACTGGGGAACTAAAACAAAACCAAACTGCTAAATCCGACACAAAGACTGGACACAGATACTCTTGGTAGCGACATTATTGTACATAATATATCCTATACAGACTATATTTTTAACCTGTTGCGCACTTCTGTCTCTTTGCACAATCTGAGGGATTCTATCTCAGGTTTCTATAAAGTTTATCTAATCTTATTATCTGTGCTGAGACCAAACGTTAAAATCAGGTCCAGTGTATGGCCTTTGATTGTGTAGAGACTATTTGAACAACACTCAATCTATATATATATATAAAAAAAGTTGTAGATAGCCGCAAACACGGTCAATCAAATCACATAGAATTAGTAATGGAGGGCCAGAGAGTATCTCTGGTTAAAAATCTGAGGAAGGGCAGGGTATGGAGGGTCTATGGAGGGTCTATTAACTAAAATAATCACTGACATTTTTACATACAATGAGAAAATACACTTTTTTATAAATAGCTGAAAATGTTAGATGTATTGTATAATAACATAAAATATACAATCAAACAGATAAGAAATATTTTTTGTTTATTTAAAAAACAAAATACCATCAGCATGTGCTCTTAGTTGCATTACTGACTAAAAAGAAACAAGCAGCATGTTGGGACGACTAAACAAGAGACTAGTGGAGGATCATTCTACATTTTTTTCCTTCCTACACATTATTTTTCATCAAACAGCGACAGCTGGAGTAGACGAAAAGTCTGAGGAGGTTATTAATGTTATGATATGATTATTTAACAATTTACAAAAGAATGTAATGTATTTTTGGTTTCAGACACTATGCTGAAATAAGGTCACTTCATGATCACTTCTCTTCACGGTCCAGGTAAATTTGGCTCTATACTTTTACAACACAAAGAACCATTAGTATCTCCCCCAACTTGAACAAGGCTGTCAGTCATTTCCTTTCTCTGACACATGTGTGGCCTCAGGATCAGACTTCTGGTCAGCTCCAGTCACAGTTGAACGGTTGCGGCTGCGAGCTCCAGGCTGGTACAACTGAATGGCTGGACGATCCTAAAATACCAAAACAAATATGAGATACTAACAAACACATTTGAAATGATTGTCATTACCTTATTCCGTAGACGTTCTCTTTTGACACTATCCTCCTTCTTGTTGTTTTCTTTAGTGGATTTTTCATTCTGTGGAGCTTCTATTATGTTTATTTTTTTCTTTTCTATTCCATGCTCTTTTTCCCGTTTGAACTCATCTTCTCTCTTTTTGTATGTGTGTTCCTCTTGGCGCTCTCGCCGCCTCCGGCGCTCGTCTTCCAGACGCCGCAGTCGCTCCTTCTCTTTCAGTCGACGCTCTTTCTCTCTGTCTCTGTCATGGTCAGAGTAATCTTTGTATTCCTTTCTCCCTTCATCTCTGTGAATGATACAAAAATAATACAAATCATCTTTGTTAATATTAAGAGTTTCTAGATGAAAGGAGTAAACTTACTTTCTGCTACGATCGTCCTTATGCTCATGGGTCTGACGTCTCTTGTGATCCCCGTGTCCCACTGGTCGGTCTTCTTTATTTGGTTTCTTCATCTTTTCTTTAAAATGTTCCATATCTCCGTCTTCAGAGCGGTCAGGTTTTTTCAGTAACTATAATGTGACAAGACGCCGTTCAGGTGGAACACTTGTGTTTTATTTGTATTATTTCTAAAAATAAGCACATGCCTTGATCTTTGGCTCATCCTTGGCTTGGTCCTTGTCTTTCTCCGGAGTCTTTTCAATTCGTTTTGTTTTGTCCGATTCTTTGCGCTTTTTCTTCTCCTCCTCCCGCCACTTCCGCCTCTCTTCATCCCGCAGACGTTTCCGCTCCAACTCTCTTCTTCTTCTTTCCTCTCTCTTTTCCTCCCGCACTCTCTGTTGTTTAATTTGATACATTATTATGTTTGAATCACTATACATTTTTTGAAATAATTTACATTACCTGTTTGTTCTTTAAGAAGTCAAGGAGTGGAGTTGATTTTCTCCCTAGAAAATACATTCAATAAAAGGTATAATTAAAGTCGATAAAAATCCAAAAACTAAATTGTTTTAACTCACCAAATTCTTTGGATCTTGCCTCAATCTCCTCCAACAACGTTTCAGGTGTGGACGTCAGTTTTTCATCATTTCCATTGTAGATCTCAAGAAACTTTTTGTAATCAGGATCTTAAAAGAAGTATATTAAACAGCTATTGTAATTTAGCATTACATAATGGTTGGTTTTTGCTGCGTTCCTAAAGTCCTCAGGAGCTCAGGTCTTTGTCTTCCTAACTACAGCTATGTGTAACACTACAGGTTGCTTGCCTGGGAAATTTTTTTCATTTTACATTCATTACAAAAAGACTCTGGTTCCTTAGCAAAAAATATATTTTGTTCCTACGATCAGAAAATCAGAGAGCAAACATCCTGCAAGATATTCAGGATAAGCATGATGCACCCTGTTCCAAAGTTTTCAGATATTTATTTTTCTTTTCAAATAAAATGGGAAAAATATTTATCTGAGTTCCAAACTGTGTTGTGAACATGGCATTACACATAATATCTCACCTTCTAATATTGTTCCACATTTGGCATCCTTTTTCTTTGTACGTTTTTTGGCAGTTTTCTGAAAAGGCGCAAACTCCACAATAGCAGAATATTCCTGTCCTGTTTAAGACAAATTATGACCACATATCATGAACATGAGTACTAAAAGAAATCTCTTTTTTTTCTTTTAATTTACCTTTGCTGTCAATAAAGACGTATCCATCAAACCGATCTCTGAACAAAACAATGTCTTCTTGATTTTTAAAATTAATGTACGCTCTTGCAAAGAGATGTGGGTAGAGGCTGTGAAAGGCAAGTTTTATGAAGAATAAACATCAAGCTTTACAGACGTATGCATCATATTATTACAGATAATTACAATACCTAGTGTCATTTGAGAAAAATTCCATATAATCGACTTCAGGAAGTGGTTGCAGTTGTTCCTCCAGCTCCTCCTTTGTGATAGTTGGTGGTAAACGTCTGATGATGATCTATAAGCAGTGATATGTTACAGTACAAACAACCAGAGATACAAGTTATGTCTGCTGTTCATTATAGCTAAACAGAACCAGTGAAGCTATTGTCTTTTCAATATTTCATGACTAAAACGAAACATGATAAAACACTAGCTCTTGAGTTAACAGAAGGAGAGCCCTTCCTTCCATCAGGTACGACTCACGTTTCTGAGGATTCAAGCCAGCAAACGTTACAGCGAGGGGGCACTTTTTTCTTTTTTTACAGAGCAAAAAAAACAAAACAATTGACATAATAACGAAATCCAGATTTTTTTTCTCGCTTAATGTAGAAAGAAAGAGACTGGTACTTCACGTGATAAAGGTAACTAGGTTTAGCTATAGAAGCTGTTTTGAAAACATTCAGTTTTTGAACTGCTAGCAACTTTTACCTTTGTCATGGTCTCTCTCTTTTCCTTTGACTTCTCTAACTTTTCGCCATCTTCACTTTTGTTTTCAGTCCTTATGTCTTTCGGTCGTGTATTTTCTTTATCTTCCTTCATAGCTGCCACTTTTGAAGTCTTGAGAGTTTATTTCATCTCCGTATGCCCCTTGTTTACTTTTTAGCTCGTTAGCCGCTAGCAGCAGTTGCAATAACAAACTTCCTCTGCGCTTCACTGTAGTACCATATGATGACCAACAGGGGGCGCCATCCAACTCATACCTTATTGTAATAAAAACACAGAACACGTTAAATCAAAACAAAATACTTTTCCATCTTCATACATGCACATTATTTTGAATCAATCACATATATAGAAAATCAATTTTGTTTACAAATTAAAAATGACGTATCAGTTCTGATTACTTTCGAAGTAAGATACATCGATAAACCAACAAATGCGTTTGATATGTTGTATTTATTATGTTTAGTGTACTAATATTTTATATCCTTCTTAGAATGGTATTTGTCTGGATAAACGGTTACAATTACGTCTTTGTGTGGTCATTTCGAATATTAACATCTTGGTCTTCTTAATTTTGAAAAACTCTTGTGTTCCTGTGATGGAGGTCGTCAGGACTTTTTGTTAGCGTACTAGCATAACATAAGCTGTTGTTGGCGTGTCCAGCTTAAAGGTGGCATCTGCTGTAAATCTGTCCTAAAACTCATCATGTGGTATGAAATAATACCCGGCTTCGCGATCATGACAGTGTGTCTCATGATTCCTGGCATCGCTACAGCAAACATACACAAGTTGACCAACGGCGGAAAGGTAGCTGCTGAGGAAGGCCCAGGCCAGGGTTACAATTTGTCTCACTAGTCTGTCATAAAATGCATTTATTTAAACTTTAATTTACCTCACCAATCCATTGTCTACAATAATTGAATTGTCGAAGTGTATTATAGGCTAATGTCTCTGACTGCAGCATACTTGTTACAAATAAATAATAGTTTCTCGTCTTCGTATCTTGTTAAAACATGTATAAAAATGTCTTTTTACTTAGGAAAAGAGGATTGTTCGAGTTCCTTGGCAGTGGTACCTGATGGAGAGAGACAGGCGTGTGTCTGGAACTGGGCGATATTACGATTCTAAGGTGAGTGATAGTTTAAAGGTCAGAAGACGTTCTATGACTGAAGTTTATGACTTTATTTTACTTACAGGGGCTTGAGAACATCAACTAACTTCCAGACCTCCAAGCAAAGTGTTTGTTGTAAAGGATTTTCCACAATTATTTCCTTAAAGTTTTAAATAAATGTATATGTGTTCAAACATCTACGTTAACAAATTTCTGACAATATGACACATGGACAAGACTTGAATTGCCAAATTAAAAAACAAGACGAAAGCTTTTATTTTCAATTTATAGAATTGGAACAGACAGTGGACTGAATCACAGAAAAATTGACCATGGTTAACTAAAACATGAATCTATACAATATATGTACATGTTTCCCCAACCCTTCAGTGATATTACACAAGCTTTCAGAAAACGAGTAGAGAAAAAAAAATGCATAAATTATTTTTCATCTTTGCCCTTGGTTTTTCTATACACCATTTCCCTGAAGCTTGATAGGATCTTGCTCTCCCTCTTTCTCCTTTCCTCCTGGTTAAATGAAGCCAGAGCTCGTTTTTCGTCTGCACTGTAAATCTGGTTTTCCTTTCTTAGACGCACAGCTTCCATGCGACGATGTCTGTGGATATAGAATTACAAATCACAACACAAACATTGATGCCTAACAGTCTAAAAACATCTTTCATAAATGTTTTTCCTATTTGGTGGTTAAAAATATGTTTCTCATGATTCATGATGACTGGGTCTTTCCTGAGTTTAGTTTTATGTCCTGAATTTATTTTTAATGGCACATTGCCCAACCTTTTTGGTGGGGTTCATTCTCTACTTATCCCCATTAAAACGTTATTGCTTTGTCTCAAATGCCAGACAGTACAGCATTCAGTCTTCAGTAACAAACATAATGAAAGTATCCTTCACAAACCTGCTTCCGCTCATCACATAACCAGATTTTTCAAAGTTTGCGATCTCATCGCTCGTGAGTCCGATTTCTCCTCTTCTTGGGATTCGTTTGCCAGCTTTCACATATTCTGCCATTGCAGCACCTTCACCTGGCAGCAGTGCATGTCCAAAACTGAAGGAAACATGTAAATAATTAGTCACAAAAAATGAAAAGAAAATAGGAAAAAGACTCACTCTAGGGGTTTGTCATCCTGGGACAGATGTGTGAGGGGTGCTTCAGGGCCAACCACATGCTCATCTATGCAGGTTTTCTCCACCCACATTATCGCACCCGCATCATCATCATCCTCCTCCTCCTCCTCCTCTTCATCTCCAGATCCCTCACTACTAGATGCACTAGACTCTATGTGCTCTTTTTTCACCTTCTTTTTCTTAGACTTTTTAGACCTAAAACAAAAAGCAAACTTTTTTTTTAACACCAACACTGATTCTAGCGCATAAACAAATGAACAAACTTTTTGCTCTTCTTTTTCTTCTTTTTCTTCTTCAGTGTTTCTCCTATGCAGAAAATCAGAATTATATTAATGCCAAAAATATATAGTGGGCTAATATTCCATATAAAGATTCAATTATATAAATGGGGCACACAATTATTGTGTATCACGCAGCACAAGGGAATGACTTTTTTATTTTTAGATTCTGTTCTACCGATTAAAAAAGTAGCTGCCGATAATCCCTTAAATCGGTTAGGCCATAGATTCAACAGCAGGGTTTAGGTTTGTTGTCACATGACTATACCATTCCAATTGCAAAGAAAACTTTTCGTACCATCAGAATCGGATTCCAGATCGCTGTCCTCAGAATGCTTTTTGCCCTTTTTCTTTTTTGACTTCTTTTTCTTCTTCTTTTTCTTCTTCTTCTTCTCCTCTGTAAAATTATTTACAAACATGTTATCTTCATTTGGGGCACGTTCACAATCTGGCCCAAGGAGGCCAAAAATGCGTTCCAACAACAATGTGTCGTTATTTAAGTGATCAGTGGCCTTGTTCTCAAAGACCTAATCTTTGAGAACAAAATAGTGACGCATTTTCTCCCCAAGTGACACACTAGTTAAAGAGAACCAGATCAAGTGTAAAGGCACCTTTAGACAATATCTTTTGGAGGCAATGAAAATGTAAATTTACCTTCAGAACTTGAGTCAGAACTGCTGTTTTTGTCATTATCTTCTACGGGGGTGAATTCATCTGAACTGTTCAAACAAGAAGAGTGTGAGGTGACAATGCAATACCACTGATAGTAACATTTATTAAAAAAACAAAAACTCCACATGATCCATAACATACTCAGGTTCTTTCACTCTAGGTGAATATCCCCAAACTTCAGGACAACCAAGTTCACCGATTCGTTCTCTTTCTTGAAGACGCCTGTGGAAAATACAACGTTACATACATACATTTTTCTGATTCAATAAACAGTATAGTTCAAACTATTATCAAGGTTGAATAAGTCAGTTTTAAGGAATCATTTTGAAATACTGTTCAATATTTAGGTATGTTATAATAACATCAATTAGATTTTTTGGACAACAAATGGTATAGCTATATGGTTAGATAGTGCACTATACACTGTTTAGCTCGCCCTGCCCCTGCTACTGTTCTGCAGTCCGACTTATATTACAGTTCCATTATCACCAGTTCATAATGAACAATTATTCATTATTAATTACGTGCAATACACATATCAATTATTACCTAGTATTTTATTTTGAGTGAGTCTTTGCATATGTTAGCTGTGCATTGCAAATCTAAAGTGTCCTAATTTAGGAGGGAAAAAAAGAATCTTTATCTTACCTCGCAATGAAAGCATCTTGTCTCTGCCTCTGTGCGTCGTCTCTTTGCTGTTCGTAATAATATTCATCCCTGGCTCCGCCGTCTCTCTGATCGGGCCAGTGGTAGTTGTTTGTATGTCGCTCCCTGGATCGAGACCGACTTCTGTGTGGACTGCCGATGCGAATCCGCCTGAGAGTTTTCGCCTCTCTGAACCGCTTTTCACGGTCCTCTCGCTCCCGTTCTCTGTTCCGTAGTTTTGGAAGTTTGGGACCAAAACTGTATGGCGATAAACTACGCGATCGACTGCGGGAACGAGTCCGCGGTCTGCGCGCCCGTGGACTCGGTGAGTTACCGGAGCTGGAGCGGCCCGAAGACGGCATGCTGTTAATGTATTGATATGGTGTTCAGAATAAACAGTACCCGTGAACAACTTTAGCGTTAAAATGATAGATCCATGGGGTTTGCAGAGTAGCAACAACAACGATCCAAGCGAGGAAGTCACATGTGTCCGTGCTAAAAAACTGTTCGTGGAGTAAAAAAATCCAAGAACAGAATGGTTCCTACTCTGTTTTTGTTGTTGTTTTTTTCATCATAGAACTGGTGTATCATGTATTTTATTCGTTGGCATACTTATTTGTTTTATACATACACGTGCATGTGTGCGTGTGGTATGAAACAAGGGTATTTTACAAGGAATCATTAATTATTTGACTTCAAGCGCAACCCCCTCTGGCGGCCGCACTGTGTGGGGACAGTCTGTGGTTGTGGTGCGGAGCTTCACATTAGCACTACGCAGAGGCTTTTGTCTGCAGTCTGTCGTGCTTCCTATATATCTTTTTATCCTCTGTGGGGATACAGCATCTGCAGGTAATTATTTTAGGACATTGCATAACTGTTCGTTATAGATGTAGTTATGTCACGTCCTTCTCTTTATACAAACACATAGAAGTCCGCTTTGTGTGGCTAATGCAATATGAGGAAGCGACCGAAGTGCTAACCTAGCTAGCAGCTGCTGTTAAATCTTCCATCTTTGCTGTCCTACCATTTAAAACCATTTTCTGCAACCATCACATTCACTCTTTTGTAGAAATCAAGAACACGTTAAACCGTGCTGTCTTGACGTTTATTACGCTTTTATTTTGCTACAAAAAATATAGCTAAAATTGATAGTTAGCTGGACAGTGTTAGCTTAGCTCAAGTTCACACAGTATAAGCTACCTAGTTACATGCGCTTAGTGTGAAACGACAATTCATTAATGGGCTCTTTTGATCCCGACTGGGAGTTTTTTTTAGCTGTTCTAATCATAATTTTTGTCTAGTCATTGCGTATTTCTATATATTTTTTTTTTGTTCAGGAGTTCATTTCTACTTAACTTTAATGTTAGTTTGTAACCAATTCCGCTAATTATTACAAATAAAATGTGTCACATAGTACACTTGTAAGTAATCCTGTACATATGCTGTCTTTATTATAGATATGCCGAGCCTCAAGTTGATATCTGCCACGGACACCGAGTACTCCGCTGCTGTGCTGAAGTCATTGAATGAACAGCGAATTAATGGACTATTTTGTGACATAACAATTATTATTCGGGAGAAGAAGTTCCGAGCCCACAAAACCATCTTATCTGCATCAAGTACATACTTTTATCAGCTCTTTACGGTGGCTGGACAAGTCGTTGAGTTAAATTTTATCAAAGCAGAGGTCTTTGAAGAAATTCTTAATTACATTTACACCTCTAAGATTATTAGAGTCCGATCTGATAAACTTGAGGAGCTCATTCAGGCGGGGAAAATACTTGGAGTGAAGTTCATTGCTAACCTTGCTTCACCTTTATCTCAAGTCAAAGGCCTCCCAGGCTTATCCAAAGAACCAGAAAATAAATCTGATACATCTTCAGAGGCAATGCCAATAATTACAGAATCATTTTCCATATCTTCAGAAGAATTCAATCAAACCTCAAAACCAGAAGTGGAAGATGAGGACTCTGACGGTGATGTGATGTTTGTTTCACAAACTACAACAAAAAAAATTAGCACAGAGGTGATTGATTTGGAATCTTCAGAAAACATAAATAAGGCCCAACCCAAAGCCGATGAAAAGGCTGGACTGCAGAAATCCTTCTCTGTGAAGCCTCCTCATCCCAAAGGCAGCGACACTACCCTTAATGGCAACTCCAAAGTTCTGTCTTCTCCTGAGACTAAGACCTCCACTGGCTTCAACCGTAATGCTACTGATGTTTCTTCGCCTCCTGAAAAAATGGATAGTTTGAGAGCTCCTATAAAGCAAGTAACAAGTGCTTCTGCTCAGCAGGGCGATCTTAAACTAAAACTGATTAATGTACCCAATATCTCAGAACGTCAAGGTCAAAGTAACACAACCAAGGAAACAAAGCAAACCATTACTAAAATGGCTGAAGACGTTGGTTCCATTGGGTCAGTATCTCCAGACTGCAAAGTATATGCAAATATTGGAGAAAATACGTATGACATTGTCAAAGTAAAAGATGACCCAGAAGAGGGAGGCTCTAAATCTCATAATGGGAAAAGAGCTTATATGGCCAGTCTCACCAAAGTCTGTGATGAAACACCAGAGTCGCTTTCAAATGGACCCTTGAAGAAAAGCAAAACAGATGACAGTCAATATTACGAGCTGATCATGGATGGAAAGACTTTCTATGTTTGTGTAGTCTGTAAACGCCCCTATGTGTGTGTGACTAGTCTTCGTCGTCACTTTAATACTCATTCATGGGAAAAGAAGTATCCATGTCATCACTGCAACAAGGTATTTGCCTTGGCCGAATACAGAACTAAACATGAAATTGTGGCCCACACTGGAGAGAGGCGATACCAGTGCTTGTTGTGCAGTGAAATGTTTATAAACTATCAGGTTTTAGCATCCCACAGCAAGTCGGTTCATAATGTCGACGCAAGTGGCAGAAGGGGGAAAGACCCAGACAATGATCTTTATCGACTGCTTCCATCCAAAACGGTGAAAATGAAGGCGTACTCTTGGGCCTCTGAAGACACGCCTGAGGACAGCAGTGGAAACATCACAGCTGCACAACAGGAATCAGACCAGAAGAAAATGCTGAACTGGGATGACATATTCATGGAGCCAGATTCCAATTCCCAGCCTGAAGATGCAGATGACCAAGAGCCTGAATTTGAGTACATCCTCCCAGATACTTACTGAGTAACTTTGTCTTTTTTACATTCCCTTTCTCCAGTAATGCATGTTTTTCAATTTTGGACTAATCATGAACTTTCTTATTCCAACATTACTGAGAATAAATCTGAATCATGTATTTGTTTTTCTTTTTTATCTTGAAGTTTGTAGCAAATATTTTAAACAACTATTTATTCTGTTTTTATTTTTTTATTTTTGTTAATCATGTGGGGCATCCCAAAAAAGTGCTTAAAAACAATTTGATTATGGATATTTTAAGGGAATTTTCAAACCGTTTCTTACTTTGGCACTGTGGCAGGGATGTGAATTATGTAATTGTAGTGGTCATGGGCTCCCGTTGTATTTCATTTCACATGTATTTTACTACTTTAATAGTTTTTTTTGCCCTGCCAAACATACTTAATTGCTAACTATACCGTCTATAAGGTAAAACTATACAGATAGCACTTAGGGCTCAAAGATTTTTAATATTGGTCTGTAAATAGTATGTCAATTGTGTATGTTATGAAATTGCTGAGAAGTTAATGGTTTGTAAATTGTGAATATAAAAATTAACAATGGGACTGTATATTGTATATTTCAGAGAAAAATGTGTTTGATAATGAAATGTTTTTTTTTAATCTACCTGGACAATAAATGTTTTAATACTCTCACCTTTGTTTCCTTTCTGAGATGGTTTATTGACAGTCCATGTTCAATCACCCGTTGCTTTGGCCTTTACAATTATTCTTGTAGTGAAAGTCTGATCAACTTCATGACAATAAGAACAAACTAACTTTTCAATAATTATTTTTTTTATGAAAAGATGTATTTACACAAGTTATCTCAGCCCTCAAGCAGTACAGCTCATCAGCAAATGAGCTGTACTGGGTTTTTCTACGTCCTGAAATTGAAGCGTTTGAGGTTTAGCCTTACTTACATTAAGTTACGTAACTACCTGACCATACAGTTTATTTGTATTTTTACAGGAAATGGTGAGAGTCAAATCATTTTCAGACACATCAATGAAAATAGCTTACACTCGTTGCTGACTGTGAGTGAACTTTAAACACATTATGTAGTAGAATAAAAACAGGCCAACAATCACATAATGAAGATGAATATGTACAATCGTTTCTGTTGAGAGAAGCAGGCTGCATATCCCTGTGCTGAAGCATTTACACAATATCATTGCATGGTCGGGCTTTTACAGTGAATGACAACAGTGACTTTTACATTAAGGCATAATCAAGGTCTGTAAACAGTCTAGGCTCATGAGCACAACAGTCTGTGCTTGTTGCACTGTTATACCAGTGTTCAAGCTCATTTACAGGAACCGCCCTGACTGCACGGTGCTTTAGGGGCTGTATGGAGGGGGCTTCTCATCTGGATGGAGGTGAGGAGGTGAGTAACGCGGGGGGATCATCGTGGGCCACAGATGACTGGCTCCAGATTGGGAGTCATCGGATAAACCTGAGGAGTCCGGGAACACGTACGCCCCCTGCAAAAAGCAACATTGTTAGAAAACACATATATACAAAGGACTTAATTAAGAATTTTTTGGTTAATTTATTTTGTAGACTTGCTTGAATTGTGCCTTTTCCTTATATTGTTGGGTTTTTTCTTTTGGCACAACTGGCCCATGCCACTCCTCCCTCCACTTTGTTATTCCTTTTGTTTGGCTTTTATAATAGACTTACTAAACCTTACCAAACTTTTTGAACAACTCTGTGTTTCCATCATTGTTTTATACATCACTGTTATGACTTTTCTTTTCTTAATTGATCATAACAGGCCACATGATGTTTTGGTTATCTGAAGGTCAAAGCAAACTTATCTATTGGCGATGTGGCAGATGCTGTATTTTTGATGAATATAAAACATGTGAATGCTGTGAAAACTGGTTGTGTCGCTTATACTGTGTTGCAACATTAAACCATGTCTTCTGCTGAGACCCCAGGCCGCAGCATCATTTGTCATTTTCTTCAGTAGTTTAAAGGTTTCAATAAATGGCTGCTTCTGAATTATACAAACATACACCCTTCCTTGTTCTTTAAAATAACACAACTTGTGTACCTGCATGTCGTAGGCTGTGTACGGTGGCAGGCAGCGCGCCGGGTTGCGATTGGGCCGGTGTGAGTTTGAAGCCGCTGGAGGCTCCCTGGGGACGGGCGCTGTGATGGCCTCTGGCTCAGACGTGCTGTCTAAAGAGGCGGAGGGAGTCTGTCGCAGAAAATACATCAGGTAAGAACATGTCATGTGTAAAGGTTATCAGAAACTTTATGCACAATAGATCAGTTATTAATTTACTGTAGCTGCTCAAAAGGACGACATTTGAAATGTATAATGCGATCTAGTGTAACACAATAAAATAATAACAAATCCAATGGCCCCTAGTCTATATTAGATAAAAAATTATACAATTATACAATTTCACAAATGAGCAGATCCACAAACTCTTCAGTAGAATTACGAACGGGTTCAATCAGCATACTAAACATTCACTTTAATAGTACAGTAAAAGACAATTCTCCTGTAAAGCCAAATGCAATGAAGTGTTGGACAGTAACAGATTTCATATACAGAGAGTATATATCCAGAATTCTCTTTTTTAAAGTGTTTTGAGTTACCGTAGAAAAATATTGCAATATTTAATCATGAAACTATGCATGATGTATGCAAGAATGTTATATACTTGCAATTAAAATATAATTGTGTTTTATATCAATATAAAACATGTATGATCAGTGTATAATAAGTTTGTTAAGCATTCAGAATACAATACTCTGATTGGACTATGCATGAATTAAACATTCTGTAACTAAATATATTCTCCCCAACACTGAGGATACAATACATATATTTCAAATCCCCTACCAGGTCTTTGAAGCCTCCCAGCACCGCCGCAGTTATGATGCCCAGGAAAAGAGCCACAATGTTGAGGATGGTGGCGGACCAGAGAAGGTGGTACAAATGCACCACGTCGTGGCAGCTCTTCACGTCGGTGTACTCGTGGTATCCGCCGTGGACCTCCACACGGCTGCGGTCGGTACAGAACAGAAGTTAGTCTAAGAAGAGAAGTTAGTCACTGCATTTGTGAAAGGATGAAACTGACAGTGATTCATGAAGGAGAGACAGAGGAACTGAGCAGCTTAAGCTTGGCCACATAAATAAAAATGTAAATGCTTAATGAAGACATATTGTGCTTTCTGCTGTATTTTTATTATCTGTAGATAATAGTTTTACAGTATATTCGAGAATAATATACATTCATATAAATATGAAGCCATTTCCATGTGTGCCAAAATGCATGGGTGACTCATCAGAGCAATGGTGTCTTTAGATGTATGGATCTCTGTAATAATCTTTGATAACAAAGGTAAATGCAAACATTATGAAGGGTTTTCAGCACAATATTTCCCCTTACCTATATTTAACAAGTGCACATGCATTTGCAAGATATGACAATGACGAAACATCTATGACATCAAAACAATTTAACAAAAACAGATTAATCAATGGCACTGCTATTACAACATAGGTCTAGGAAAAGTGACCTACTTCCAAATCATGGAGGATTTCCTAAATTTTTTCAAAACATCTTTATTCTGCAGTCCCATTAGAGGGTGCTCTCTGAAAAAGCCAAAAGAAAAAAAGTTCTAATACAAAACAGTGTAAAAAGCACCCACAAAAACTACTAGTATAGTATATGACAAATCTAGTGTATCATAGCAAAGCAGCAGCAGCTCACTGTTCTTTAGGTTTTATTAAAGATATTTCAGAAGCATATACATACTTGCCACAGTGGTACAGGTCACAGCAGTAGCATGTGTTCCTCTTAACTTTGAAATGACAGTTTGAGCGCGACGATGTCTGGCAGACCTGCAGTCAGCAATCATTACACAATTACACATATACTTTGTAAATGCTTTATGTACTTGTATTTATATGTCTATATCTGTGTGTAGTTTCTTACATCTCTCTCTGAGTCAGTCTCGCTGGAGTAAAACTCACATCGCCCCGCGTATAGAGGCCTGAGATCCTGTGGGACAATTAATATCCAAGACATTTCATACATGTTGATAGATAGATAGATGAATAGATAGATAGATGGATGGATAAGATAGATAGATAAGATCGATAGACAGATAAGATTGATAGACAGATAACATAGATAGATAGATAACATAGATCGATAGATAGATAAGATCGATAGATAGATAAGATCGATAGATAGATAAGATCGATAGATAGATAACATAGATCGATAGATAGATAAGATTGATAGATAGATAACATAGATCGATAGATAGATAAGATTGATAGACAGATAACATAAATAGATAGATAACATAGATCGATAGATAGATAAGATTGATAGATAGATAACATAGATCGATAGATAGATAAGATTGATAGACAGATAACATAAATAGATAGATAACATAGATCGATAGATAGATAAGATCGATAGATAGATAAGATCGATAGATAGATAACATAGCTCGATAGATAGATAAGATTGATAGACAGATAACATAGATCGATAGATAGATAAGATCGATAGACAGATAACATAGATCGATAGAAAGATAAGATCGATAGACAGATAACATAGATCGATAGATAGATAGATAGATAGATAGATAAGATCGATAGACAGATAACATAGATCGATAGAAAGATAAGATTGATAGACAGATAACATAGATCGATAGATAGATAGATAGATAGATAAGATCGATAGACAAATAACATAGATCGATAGAAAGATAAGATCGATAGACAGATAACATAGATCGATAGATAGATAGATAGAAGGATACTTTGCGTACAGTTTACTATAACAGCGTATAACAATAGTAAGAGTTTTTGAAAGTCAATTGAATGGCCCATTTGTTTTTCTGATATATTTTGTACATTAAGAGGATATTAAGAATTAAGACAATTAAATAAGTAACTTCTGATTTTGTTAAATCCTCTGAGATGGTGGCTGTTGTGAATTTGGACTATACAAATAAAATATTGAAGGAATAAAAATGTTGTTCCTCATTTTTTTCCCTTGGGTTTGTGTTCTGTCAACACTAAACCTGGGAGCCACTGTTCATTAAATGGCTTAAAGACAGCTGCAAGGATAGATTGAATTGAATTAGTCTATTACACAAAACTACAACAATTTCAGAATATGAAATCATAAATCTCTTTTCAGAGAAACTTTTTAATGCAACAGGGTTCAAAGAACATTCCTAGAACTTGTTCAAATTGTTTTGACATAATGTGGTGTTGTTGCTGTAATATCCAATAAATCACTCCATGAATGATGATGATCGCCAATGTTTTTGTGCTAATTGTTTTTAGAGTGCATTAGGGGTTTCCTGTTTTACGTGCTTTGTATCAGAGTGGCCGATTCTCAGAGAAATAGTCCCATTGGTGAGGGTGGGGCTGCTTTACCGCACAGTAAACGGCATTTAACAGACAACTATGAGACAAAAAGCGATTCAGAAGAAAGACCACTGTGATGTTGTGCCCCAAACATGAGTGACGCCCTTCTGCATCTTAGGCTCAGATTTGAGTGATATTATGTCATTTGTTTTGTAATGGATACTTACAATGTGCCTTGCAGCAAAAACACCGTCCACAATAGCACAGCAGAAGGCAGCTACAACACCAAAGCTGATGAAGACGATTGACGCCACAAGCTGTAACAAAGAATAAGGAGGACTGAGGAGTGAGTGCTTCTGTAAGCACTTATGAAACAGTTTCATAAACAGTTGCTCTTCAAGGACCTGGCAAAGTCAAATCACTTTTATTTTTTTAACAGGGTACTTCAGACACCTTTTCTACCAATGTAATCCGGATGGGACAGTAGGAAATTGCCATTATGTGATCATCTTAACCAAATACACCACAGTATTAAGGTAGAGATAGACACTTAGGGGGAAAATAAATAAATTAAAAGCTGCTTGTGCTTGTTTTTTATTACTGTTACGAGATTTGAGAAAAAATACAGGACAGAATATATCACAATGTCCATAAAAAGTATATTTGTGTATTCTAGTCTCTTTGGATGCCTGGGTTTCCATAAATTCAATGTGATAAAAGCATTCTGTTAATACTATATTGATATTGTGGCATTATATTATAATGGCCTATATTTCTTTTCTCTCCATCTCAATTTTTATGAGGAAGTCATGTATTAATACTGCCTTTTGCAATATGGACGTCAGCTGTTTATTGAATTAAATTGTTCTACATCATTATTGAGCACTATTTCATCACTAATTTGTGAAATATTATTAATAAAACCACAAAGTCTTTCATCCCTATCGCTGCAAACTGGATTATTGTGGTCTTCAGGTGCATAATACCATCAGGCTGAATAAGGGCTGTAGGTTGAATAGAGGACACCGGGAGCTGGCGTTGTCACCTTGCTCCTGTGCAGTCCGACTTTGGCACGATGCCACTGTCCTGTGTGGGCACTGCGGTGCTTCTTCCTCCCCATTTGCTCCATGTCCTCTCCTCACTCCTTGATGAGCTATGGTGTGTATTCAGTTACACATCACCCCACCCTGGTGGCATGCACATCCACACAGGAGACTAACTATGCACCATTAAGCCCCTTACATTCAGCTGCTGATTAATGCATGTATGTGTTGCATTTGGAAATACTTGTTATCAATGATCATTCAGGCTATGGTTCAAATAGACAGTAAAGCAAAGATGACTGAAAATCAATGACCAATTACAAGCAAGTAAAGCTGATATATTTATATATCTGATATATATATATTTATATTTAAGTAAAAATATGTACAACATAAACTACTCAAAGAACTGTATTTTATTCATTAGGGAGCATTTAGATCAGTCTACCTCAGCTCATAATGAAATGTCTTGTTATGACATAAAACGGAAAGAGGGTTACCCTTTTTCAGCGGGTGAGTTGACCCCACCCTGATTTCTAGAAAACTGTACACATGTTTTGTTGTGTGACCATAAGTTCATAATTGCAATCTTGCTGTGAACAATATGTATGTTTTTACACATGTGGGTTTGTAAACTTTACACCATCACCTCGGTGTAAACCATGAATATTTATTAGCTGTGTGGCCCTCCTTTCTACTTGTTATACTGGTTCTCGATCTGACACGCTGATCAGAAGTTTAGGATAAGTGTGTTTTCATTTATAAAACAGTTTTTTGCATCATGAGGAGAAATGTTCTATTGAAGCAAATGTATCTGTGTCTAAAGTTATGTATATGACACATGTCGATGTCACTCAATATAAGCCTGTTTTGCGAAGCTAGTCAGTTATTCTTAAAATAAGGCTAAGGGACAAAGTGACCCTTTATTAATTACAACACACATCAACAACAGGAGGGTCGCCCTCTGCAGGACACTCTTTCTACTCTGGAAAGCAAATTCAGCGTCAGACTGATCAACCTTCAGTTTGTGAAACAGGTTCCACAGATATTTCTTACAGCAGCTGTCAGGCTGTACAATGAACACTGCTGAGTCTGTTGTAGTCATTATGTGCAATACGTTGCCAGAGCTCGAGGCCGGGCTGGTCGTATCACAGCCGACCCCTCTCACCCTGCACATGGTCTGTTCCAACCACTCCCCTCAGGCAGGAGGCTACGCTGCATCAGGACCAAAACCTCTCACCATAAGAACAGTTTCTTCCCCTCTGCTGTTGGACTCTTGAACACTTCATAACCTGTCCCCCCGCCCTTTATAAGTCACCTTACGGCCCCTTATAAAGTCACCTTACTGTCCCTTATTAAGTCACTTTAATGCCCATCATAACGTCACTTACTGCTTGTCACCTTATTGCACTGCCTACTGCATTTTGTGTGCACCATGTGCACGTGCATATTGTACATAGTAATTGTAATTGTAATAATTATATTTTAATTTTATTCCTTAGAAGTGTATGCTGATTTTTATTTTTTTATGACTTACTCTATTCTCTACCCTTTACCTCTCTTTCTGACTATTGCACCGAGCCAAAGCAATTTCCAAGTCTGTGACTTCCTGTTACTTACGTGGCAATAAAAATGATTCTGATTCTGAATATGGCATCATAACGTCTTAGCACAATATGCTAACGCTTATTGACCATACGCAACTACTTTTGTCATTCCGCCCTGTGGCAGCTGTGGCTACAGTTTACTACAGTTGAGTGAGTGAAAAGTACTATGCGTAGGCTACTCGGATAGCTGTCTCAACTTGGTTCATCTTACTGCTTACTATTTTGAGAGGTCATTATTTTGGCCAGCTTTTTCATAGATGTTCTGATCTCATTTCATAGGAAAAATCTGGAAATAATGACAAAATGTTTTCTTTGATCTTTTCATTATCTAAAGAGTGGCTCACCTTACTCCACTCTCCCCAAATAACTTCAAAGCATCAAAAAGTATTGTCTGATAGGGGGTCCTGCTCCACTCTTTGCAGTATTTGTGAGTTTGTCGGTTTAGAAAGGAAAAGCAACAATGAGAGGAAATCTAGATAAAAGGAACAGAGACTTGGACTGTACTCAGAGGTATCACATGACACAGACCCAAAAAAATAACTGGTACATTTGGTAAATACGTAGATGCTCTCCTTAAATTTACATTGTCAATACAATTAAATATATGTTTTCACCGTAGAGTGTAAATATTAACAGACGTAGTCACGCCTATCAAACAAATGGGCGAAAATTGTGCTCTACTGGAGCAATCCAAAATGGCCGCGAGTGGTCCCGCCCACAAGAAAATTGTCAAAAAACGCATCTGCGCATGTGTCAGCCGGCGCGAGCCCCATTCATTTAACGAGTGCCTTCAAAAATTCATAGCAACTAAACTAGAGTGGTCCAAAAATATTCACCCCCCTCAGCATTGACACACGTGGAACGGAGCTTTGGGCCACGAGCCAACTTTTGGACCATCCTGTAAAGACGTTTTCGAGAGGTAAGAAGATGCTATATGTTAGCATTGGCTAATTCTTATATTCCGTTGACCCCCATCGGCCCGGGGTGGTATTGCAAGCATGTCAGTACACGTCATTTTGGCCACTTTTGAGCCGGGACCCGCCCCAACTGGTTTTCACACACTACCCTCCTCTAAATATCAGTGTTCATGAGATTGCAGGAGGTGGCAACATGTAGGGCTGGGCAATATGGCTGAAAACTATATCACAATATAAGTAATTCATATCGGTCGATAACGATATATATTGATTGTTTTTTTTTAAACCTAAATAACTACATTTGTCGTGTGGGCTAACAAACCTTAGCAGCCTTGTTTACAGTCACGGGGGAAAGAGGCTGGAGGAATATGTTCACACTGTGTCCCCCGTTGTTGGTCCTGGTTTGATCCTGGTTTAGTCCTAGTTTAGCTCCTCTTTGGGCTGTTTTCGAGGGTCTTGTGTCCCCGTGACCGCTCCGTGCGGCTCTCTGATTGCCGCACATGCTTCCCGAGGAAAAAGTTAATCTCTTGCTTTCGCCGAATACATCGGGTCTGTCCACTGCCTCTGCCGCCGCACATGTTATACCTCGCACGTACGTGCATAACCATTGACACGGCATTAAAACACGATCTATAGATCCATGGACGCTACGCATGGTGCGGTTGTTGTTGTTTTCGTATTTCCCAGAAAGTTTTGCGGTTCATGCTTGGCTGTGATAGGTCAAGAAGCTTCTGCCTACATCCCCCACGCGCCGCGCGCTTCTGACTCGGCTTTACTTTCTGTGTTTTCTTCAAAACTATCAAACATTCTATCGACCCAGTTTTCTATTGCTATCGAACACGTGTCTAACGCAATATATATCGTTATCGTTTTATCGCCCAGCCCTAGCAACATGTTCTTGCTACTGTTGAGACGACCCCCCACTTCTTTTATTTGCACTTGGGATGAAGAACAATCTTGAGTTGTGTTTACAAATCCATTAGAACTGTCTCTTCTTGTACTTGGTTACATTTTCAATTCAAATCAAATATGACTCACTGCTTAGGGATTTAATACGATGGTAAAAGATGGCTGTTAGTGTTTGAAAATGATCAGCTTGGTGATCACAGACACATTTGATATAGTCATGGGAATCTGTGGTAATAAAGAGCTCACAGAAGATACGGTATAGGGTGACAAACAGGATTCAGCTGAGACAAGACGCGCTCGGACCGAAGCATCATGGAAAAACATGACATAGTGCAAACCCTTTCTTTACTTTGGCCACGACAGCCCGGCACAACCCACCCTCTCATCTGCACTTTCCTTCCCCACATTCCCCCTTGGACATGGGCTGTGCTCCTCTCCTTACACACTGTCTATTTCTAGCTTCTGGAAGTCTGTCTCGGATACACAGGGCAAAACCTATGGGAGTTTTGCACCAGGACTGAAAAGAGTTGATTAATTTATTTTTTTGTCTGACCACAGTTTGGCTTAATTATACTGTCCGGTGCCCACTGTTGGTCAAACTCAGCAAAGACTGGTTTGTTTTTATTAAAATCTGCCGGTGTTTTAATCCCAATGCTTGTGCTTCATATTACACTATTTCTATATACAGCCATTTCCTGTTGTAACTTAACTCAGTGTATAGGTATGAAATATTATATAGTGTATAGAAAATTATTTCAAATTGATCCAATATGTGCATATTGTATATTGTGTGTCAATTTCTTAAATGGTCCTCGAGTGTTTAAGCAGCAAAATTACATAAAAAACAAAGGATTCTTACCATTTGTCTTTTGTTCTCAATCAAATGAGATCCAATAATCCCCAGAAATGACCCAAAACCAAGCTGAAATGAGAGTGGGAGAGTCTGTTAACACTTGTTCTATACACTATTTCTACAAACAACATTTGATTGAAGGGTAAGTAAGTATTATATATGGCTTTGTTTCCAAATTGTTTTCAAATGTATCGACCTTCACTGCACTCACACCATACTCCATCCAACTTACTATACCTTATGTCTCGTCAAAATGACCATCGTCTTTCTATTATATTTGTTTACTTTAGTTTACTAATCTTGTCCAAGGGCCCGACAATATGGACTGTAAAACTGTTTGGACTGGATTCGGGCTGTTCTGGGCCTTTAGAATGGGGTACGATATGTCCATCTCGTTTCCCACAACAGCAACATTAACGCCATATTTGTGACACAACCCAATACAAACGTCAGTATATACAAATGACGTCAACAACTGAATTCCAGAGGTTCTGAGCTTCACAAAGAGGTAAAGAATGACTATATTGGTGGAGTTGGACATTGTGAAAGCTAATACACAAAGAAGCAAGGCAGAGGGCCACCAAAAATGGCACTCATCTTGGACATGCGTCGTCTATAGCCCAGATTTTATATTAAAAAACATTCATAATTCATCCTATTTGTTTATATTGAAACCTGTACATATGTTTTTTTGAACTATTACACACATAGACTGTAGATATTACAACATGTCATAGCACTTAATCTTAATGCCATTCTATTGTGATAGGTCATCAACTGCATCAAAGTGATCTCTCGTCCATAAAGCAGTTTTAAGTACCGTTCATAAAAGAAGTTTGAATCCAAAATAAAAATTGGACAAACAAACAGAAGATGACGATATAACTTCAGGAAGAGGAACAACCTTCTTCCTTTGTGCGTGTTGATTGTTTCCACTCACAACCACACATTCTGCACCTGCTCTTTTCTTTCTCAAAGTATAACACAAAAAGCTGAGTGCTGTAAAGTAAACTAATTTATGGAGCAATACTAGACTTCACTTTGCCACTAATGATGATGATGATGATGAATAATGCATGCTGGTAAACGTCACCCTGCAGACACACTGGGCTTTAGTTTGGAAAGAACTTTATCAGACTCACAATGACTCCTGGGTAGTATCCGCCCACCGTGATGTTCTGTGTGCGAGTGGTGGCGGCCAGACCAAACACCAGAATGAGCACCGACACTATGAGCAGCATCACGGTGACAATAATAGATTTCCTCTTCCTCCTTTTGAACGAACCTGCAGAAAACAAAATTATCACTAATTCTTGTCTGTATGGGTTTATTGAGAGATCGGCTCATAAAACATGTTTTTATTTTAATTGTTCTGTTTTTCAATTACAACATCATATAACTATTACATATATACATCTTTAGATCGCCTTTATCAGTGAAAAAGAAAATACCAGCTCTCACTCAGCGAATCAGAGGTGGACTTTTGATCACACAATGTTATGTACAAATTTCCTTTCTTAGGTACACTACACCAGCTAATACACTTGCTGATAGGCCTATAATATGCCATCACATCTTTTCAAGAACCAAATGCATTCCAAATTTGTTAAGCTACTTCTATATTTTGAAGTGTGCATTCCCTAAAGGCTATTTATTACATATACGATGAACACAAAGCAGCAGATAAACTTAAACTTTTGCCCCAGAATCTTAGCCTTGTGTTCAGAAAGTTGCTGTATGACGTTGTGGGCGGCACGTGTACGTTAATGTATTATTACGTCATTAGTGGCAGTAACAAAAGATAATGCAGATCTACAGGAGAGTGTAGGGTGACTGCCTGATCCTAGGACAAGATGAATTTTGTGGGAGATAAAGGATGCAAAAACATCACATAATCAATAGCACCATATGATTAAAAAAAGGCATGGAACAGCAGGTGGCAACAGACTACAATCCTAAAAGCCATGGTTACAGTGTGGCCTGTGCAAAGACGAAACATTTAAAAAAAACATCTTTTTCTATGCAAACCTTATATTTTCGTATTTCTTGTAGCTTTGGTTAAACAAAGTCTCCAAATAGAGTGGAACAAAGGACACATGGCCACCACACAGATCGTCATAATAACAGCGCTGCACCTGCAATGACGCGCTGCGGCCCAAAACGGTGATGCAACACACACACACACACACACACACACACACACACACACACGTACAGCAATGCCAATCGTTTCAACCCCGCAGCCATCATATTTAGAACTGTAATCTGATTTCTACTTGTTAGATTGCCCATTGTAACTAATTGAGTGAGCTATTTGCAGACACGCGCTGACCTTGCACCTACACCCACACACACACACACACACACACCCACACGCGCGCACATACACGCACATTCACACACACCTACCCATGCTTGTCTCGGAGAGGGAAAGCCCGCTTGACTGGAGGCTCTGGACTGGAGGCATGATTACGGCGTCTCCACATTCAGGGCTTGAGAAACTCCACTCACGTAAAGCTGTGGCTACCGCGGAGGAGAAGAGGGGGATTGGGAGCAGTCGTGACCAGACCCAGGCGGCGGTGCGTCCATGCGCGCAGGCATCTCTGTCAAACCGTCCTCACTCCAGGCTCCATCTGTGGTTTCGACTTTAATGTTTCATCCACGTCGTGCAGAAAACAAAGTGGTACCCTCTGTTAGTGGCCAATAGGGGAATGGTCCTCACGCGTCGATGGTGGAGTCACGGCCGGTGCTGGTTGTGCCTGTGTGCGCATGTCAAAAACACAGCGTTGGTTATACAGTCAATCTGCATAAGCTTGGATAGAAGCACTTTTGCATTTTGGATATGACTGCTGAATTGTCCCTGCGGTGTACGTTATAATGTATTCGTCCCATCTGAGAGAAAATATATGCAGGAAAGACTGCTTATGATATATTTTTTTTTTAACTTATGTAACTTCTGGTTGAGATTTGTCCACGAACGTCTAAATCGGGCGTGTTTTTCTTTTTGCTAAATATACAGGCATGCTTAAGCACCTACACAGATCTACATCCTGAAAATAGCCTGTAGACCCTGTGAATACGGAGGGGCACATACATTTTGAAGACATGTCATAATAGATTCAAGACAGAGAGTCGGGGTAAGATATTGGATGAACTAAGAATTGATAATTGCATGTTCTTATCACTGCCAACATTATGCAAACTTGTTCACAATAATACAAGTTTCTCCTTCAATCTTCTCCCCAGTAATAAGTGATTACAGCTTATCGAGCAGTCGACTGTCTGGGAAGCAGCGCCCTCTGCTGGCAGAAGCACGTCATGGCAACAGTGGAGATGTTCCACCAGAAACCTGGGAAAAGTTATTCTCTTCGTCTCCTTCTCCTCATTGATCAAGCAAATGTATGTTTTCTCCCCATGACAAAAAACAAACATTCATTGAAACAAATCACACCAAAAATGGATGATGACAGATACGATTACTCAGTTTGGCTGATGTTGAAAAAAGTTAGCAATAAAATAAATACATTTAACTTTAATATACCATAATAGTATGGCTCCAGTTTAAATTTCTTTTCACATCTTAAAGCACTTTGTCTTATCTTGACATAACTTGTATGTTAACCCCAGGCTGGATTTTTGCCCTACAAGTTTTCATAAGAACGTTTTCCATGACGCAATTTCTCCTTTTCATGGCTCCCTCTCCTCTTTACTCAGGGGACAGGGCTACGTGAGGGGACTGCAGATGGGAGTAGGATGAGGAGCTCCTTGAGGTTCCCCAGAGCAGAGCTTATGGCAAGCAGCTGCAGCCAGAGTCTATAGAGCTGCTGGTGTTGGCAACAGACATCAGTATGCATGCATGTGCATTAACATCACTCATGGCTGCAGTGCTTCTTTGGTTGTTCACACTCATAAACACACTCAATAAACATGTAAATTGCTCTTGTTTTATTATAGACCCTCATTTACACATTGCAGATCATTTGTCCTGTGTTGGAAATGCCCATAAATATTGTATTCAAATGTAGCTTGATAGACAATGGTGGTGATGGTGTGTGTTCAGAATTCAACGCTGCGGCCTGGGTCACTCACTGCCAAACGTTTCTGAGAGGAAAAAAAGTTATCCCACCCCCAGTTTCTCTCCCACTGCTCAGCCTCCATTCAGTATGATGCGCGCCTCGCTGAAGGAGGGTCCTTGTTTCACACCTAAAACTTTCTAATGAAAGCTCCAAATTCTTTTTGACCATCTTTTTAATTTTTACAGATCAAAGGTGCTTGGGCAAGCACAAATACATTAACAAAATCTTACGGTATGTGATGTCTTTTCATAATTGTATATATACTTTTTCTGATGCTTGTACCTCAAATATAAGGTATTATTTTATGCTATCTAACTGTTTAGCTGTATATTTTTTAGAGAAAGCAGAACCTCTTTTTCTGGTGGATATGGAGCCGACCCCCACAGTGGGAGAAACAGAATCTCAAACTCAGCAAGTTCAACCTCCAGAAGAGGAAATCAAACCAGTAAAGCTTTCCCGGAGCCCGGTGAGTCGGCACAGACACAAGCTTGATGATCCCTAAATTTTCATGTTGATGTTGCGATCCCTGTGGTCTGGATGACCTTCTGTGTGCGATACACAGCTGTGCTGCGCAGGAGGGTCTAGGGGAGAGGTCTCCACTAGCTTTAGAATATACCACCTTAAAACAATAAGGCTTATCGGTTATAGACTATCAAAGAGTTGAGTGATTACTGAAGCTCTTTCTTTGTTTGTTTTAACAGCCTCACAAAGTACTCCTCAAACATGGCCAAGAGCTGGAGGAAGAGCAGGAAGAGTTGGCTGAGCACCAGCCACTGGAGCAAGAAGATCTCAACTTTGAACGATTCAAGCGTAGACCCTTACCTCAGAGGACCCTTCACCAGAAAATTATTGACGTGAAGACATACCTGTGGAATGCAGAAACCAAGGAATTTATGGGCCGCTCTGGAAAGAGTTGGAGTGAGTTTAACTTATCATTATCTTTAAGTCAATCCATTTCTGCTCAAATACTGAGAGCTACAGTGGTTTGGTGCAAATTTTCTGTCTTTAGTCCATCGACAAGGCAGCTCACTGTGTGTGTGCGTGTCATGTACAATGTTGACTTAGGTGCATGGATAATTTGGACTGTCCCGACAAAAACAGACTGCCTGGGGACATGTCCGCAGCAGGACTGTACTGTCCTGGGCCTTGGATTGGCCAGAAATCAAATTCCTCTGCATCTTACCATGCTCCTCACTGCCTCGTTCCCAAAGCCCTTGCGACCTCTCCATTGAACTTGTACATTTGGCTATTCCGATAAAATATAAGTTTTATGCATTAATGATGGAACAATCAGTAAATATGGAATGTAATGTGATGTAATTATCTCACATTTGTAGTCATGAGCAAAGATGATATAGCAAGTTTTGCAAGGACAAGGCCCATGTTGAGTCAGTTGGAGCTGTACACTCTTGTGCAGCATGGGGCCCCTGAGGAAGAAAGGACCTAAGGTTGAAGTCGCCGTTGTGTGTCCTGTGTAATAAGTGACATAATACCAAAGTGGGGTGGTTGGGGCTCCTTGGAGCTGGCGGGGCCTCTATGGCTGCAAAAGACCTTCACTACGATAGCAACCGGAGGTTCACTCTGTTCCTGAGTGAATGGACAGCTGGGTGAATTCTCACTGAGCTTAAACAGTAAGGCCTTTGTAGCTACAGAGACACAAGGCTGGCTACACTTAGTCCCCTGTGAAATTGCCTGCACAGCAAAAGCTATTACATTTAAAGCACGTTTGGCTTGATTAATTGCTAATAGATTGTTAATCAAATCTTCCACAGTATAGTTAGTACACACAATTTAGCTTAGTTACGCTTCATCTGTTATGCCTTTATTGATGTGGAAAATACAAACTAACATTAAACATTTGTTCTTCTTTTTCTTTAGGCCTTATCCTACTATTCTATGCTACACTTTATGCCTTCCTTGCAGCCATGTTTGGCGGCTGTCTGTTTTGCCTCATGTGGTCCATTAGTCCCTATCATCCGACTTACAATGACAGAGTGATGCCACCAGGTAAATACAGTAGAGCCCCTCGTTAAAGAACTCTCACATAGTGTTTAGTGCTGTGTTGACTTTCCTTGTGTTCATTTCTTGTACCTGGTTCTCGGCACAGTTGACTGTCTTTGCGTCTCCACTGGCAGGTATGACGATGGCTCCACACCTGGATGGTCATGACATCCACTTCAACGCCTCCGAGCGAAGATCCTGGAAGAAGTATGCGCGATCAATGGATGAGCATCTAAAACGTAAATCACAAAATCTAGATTATGGCTGTAGACATAATAATCATAAATGTGGGAGGTTTGGTCTTTCATTCATTAGTATTTTGCAGAGCATGCTGGGAAGGAAAGCCTCTTTGTGATCCACCATTCAGAACTCTTTTTCACACTCCGCTTTTGTTTGACTTCCTTAACCAGAGCCCCTAGTTTGGCAGGCCATAGGGTTTACTTATGCCCCTCCCCTTCTGTGGGCCCATCCAGTCACCTCTCCTCTGTGCTTCACTTACAGCATACAACGATGCAGTGCAGGACAGGAAGAATATGCGCTGCACACAAGATGGGAAGTATTTCATGCAGGATGACCTAAGAGAGGACGAGGAGAGGAAGGCATGCCAGTTTAAGAGGTCTTGGTTGGGGGAATGCTCTGGGATGCAGGACCCCCACTATGGCTATTCTCAGGGAAGACCATGCATCTTACTTCGAATGAACCGGGTAAGACATGAAGTTACAGTTGAAGACATTTAACTGACAAAAGCTTTGTTTCATGTTTGGTCATTTTGTTGTTATGTAAATAGCAATGTATGTTGATTCTCTTAAGTGGTGCCACCTGCATGTGAAAGCCTGATCGTGTAAGATTTCAGCTGCTAAGCAGGACAGGGCCTGGTTAGTACTGTGATGGGAGACCACTGGGCAAAGTTCCAAACTTGTCCTTTGGTCCTTAGACAAGACATTTCACCAACATTGCCTAGCTTTGTCCAGTGCATGAATGATTGAGGTGGGCCCGAATGCCCAGTTTAGTTTCTGTGCTTCTGACATTCTGCCTTAGGGCAGCTGCGACTACAGTGGTGTTCAGAAAAGCGTAATGTAAAACCAATGCACTATAATTACATGCATCTTTGTACATTTGTCACTTAAATTAAGACAGTTAAAAAGTCAGATAATCATGAACTTGAACACAAAAGTTTGACTAGATACTTGAGATACATGAGTAGGTATAATTGTGTTGCGTTCATCGTAATACACAACTTGAATGAATCATGTGATTATTACTATACAAGTTCAATTATTTCTTAATGACTGGGTGTCACATCAAAGATCAAGGCTATGCTCACACTCAGAGAGCAGCCGTCCTCCTGTGGACTCACCACCTGCAGAGGGTCAGTGAGGGGCTGGTGCTATGAGACTTGGGTGGCATCTCTGATTGCCACCCCCCTGACCCAGAAATGGATTAAAGGGTAGAAAATGGATGGATGGATGGGTGTCACATTCTGCCAGTGACAGTGCAATTTCAAGCCCTGTGCTGAACTAGCTGTTTTTATATCAGGATTTTTGTTGAGTAGTAAAAATATAAACTGTGTAATCTGTCATACTGACATAATCACATCTTTGCTGTAGATTCTTGGGTACTTACCCGGGGAAGGCAAACCAATTAACGTTACTTGTGAAGTCAAGGTACAGTTTTATCTTTTTCATATCACCAATCAAATTTTACCAATTGCATTCATCACATTTTGTTTCTAGAAAGGACCACCTGAAGCCATTGGACAGCTGCAGTTCTTTCCAAAGAGTATTTTTGAGTTGAAGTATTATCCTTACTACGGAAAAACTAGACATGTAAGTCAAAGAATGTTATGGATTCAGGTTTATATTCTGGTTTTATGATTGTCTATGTGTGATTCAGGTAAACTACTCATCTCCGGTGGTTGCAGTGCGTTTTGCCTCAGTGCAGTACGACACTCCGCTTCAAATAAAGTGCAATCTCAACGGAAAAAACATAATCAACGACTCGCCCACTGACCGCTACCTGGGCAGTGTCACCTTCTCCCTGGTAGTGGGAGCATAAGGCGAGTCCGTCACTGCCTGCATCACAAAGCTCCACAACTCGGCAGCACTAAATGTTTGTTTAAGTTTAAAGAATCTAATAGATGTCTGCCTGTTCAATATTATTCAACACAATACGGCGTCTTCTGCCTATATAGGACAAATATTGTGCATAATTAGTATTACTTTTAGCCCTTCTACATAAATCTTGACTGAGAACCTTAGTATTGATATTTCAAGTTTAAGATAATGGCTGCATCCAAATGTATATTTCTATATCCTTCACTGCCTTTCCTTTCCATATTTATTGACCTAAGTGGCAATAAAACATCTTTAAAAGGTGCTAAACTTCACTTGACTAAACCTGGAGCCACAGTTTTATAAAAGGTCAAATTTGAAGCACAAGGAAGGATGATGGGTGAGGTATTTATACTGAATTCGGATGTTGTCCCTGGATATAAGTTGTCTGTTTCATGGAAAAAATGTTTAGCCCTTTGTTAACCCGATGAATAGAAAGAATACTTGTGGCCATTTCAAACATATGCCGTTGTAATGAATGTAATTTGACTGCGCACACGCTCAGAACAAGTCTGTAGGTTATTAAAGGGTTTTAAACGGCCCAGAGACTGTCGTAGCTCTACAGGCTATGACATCTGGGATTCAATATTGAACGTTCTGCGGGTTGAGTTGGAGCAGATTACTTGAACAAGCATTTAATACAACTCTGGGTGTGTTGAGATGAGGGAGAAATTGTGTAATGTGGTTGAAAATAAAGTTTTGCATAATATATGTCCTTTAAAAGAAAGATCTGTCAGTTCAGTGCTTTCGCCATCAGCACGTTCGTGACCGTAAACCGCAGCTTGTCTTTAATAGAAATATTAACCCCACTAGCCCAATAGTGTATCTGACTATGCAAATTACAGTCTGACCTGAACAGATAGATTAGGTTTTTTTTCCTTTTGATTTGAACCTGTAATACTATCTGGTTTTATTTGCACGTTTGTCAAGAATTTGACTAATTTGTTTATTTTTCAACTTTGTATATTTCAAGAACTTGATGAATGCAAACAAGACTTGTACTGTACTTACACAGTAAATAATACATACTGCAAATACTTTTACTTTATTTTTTTTCTGAAAATAGTATTGTTTGTAATAAAGAATTTAAGTGATTTGTTGTCCTCTGTTGAAAACAATGTTTAACCGAAGACTACTGAATACCTGCTTTAAATGTTTTCGTAATAAACAATTACATGATCAAATTAGTGTAGTAGAATGATATTGTTAAAATGTATTAATATAATATTACTGGTTCGAGATACAGGACATTTACATGCATTATTACAAGATAACCAACGTTCAAAGTAAACTGGTTACACTATTTTAGGAATATACTTAGTTATACAAAGCAAAATTATGCATGTAATTTGCAGTTAGTTCCAAATTAAATATATTACTGTAACTAATCAAAATATAAGCCACCACAAACATGCTAAAAGTTCCTTATGCCTGTGACATTTACAAGTCTGAGGTAAGCAAATGCTCACGCCAAGCACCCTTGTGACTGAATACAGCCACAGGTCAAGGTTTACAATGCAAGTTTTTTTATGTCAACCTCTTAACAATAGATCATGTATTAATGAGACAGTTTTACAAAACAAGAATGAAACTTTATTGAATGTATCTCCCATGTGTTAAAACAGCCAGATTGCTCAAATGGAGACAAGCTTCAAGCAAGAAATGCAGGAGGCACAAGCAGAAAAATTGTACATTACATTAAGTACAGTGACTGGTGTGATTACACTAATTGGGTGAAGCAAATACATTAAAATGAAAATAATTATACTAACAAAAAGTGCAATTAAACAAAATACTTCCCTCATGGAACACAATGAGTCCCAGCGCTGGTAAAGTGACAGTGTGTCCCTTTCTGCCCATGAGAATGAGTGTCAAGTGATAACATGGAAATCAAAGCAATAGTCACTTATACATTCACCTCATTAAAATATTTCCATTCATTCCATACAATTCAAATACTCTTATAATACAGCATAATTTTGTATCCCAATATTATTTGCAGACAAAGGGGGAGCCAAAAGAGCAGGTTCTTGTAAACATGCAATTAAAAAGAGTTCTAAATTTTGAAATAAAGTTGTGTGATATAGTTAACTTCTGGTGCATCGGATTCATTGATTAGAGGGGGCAACATAAAGCAAGCAGAGGAAGGAGGCATTATACAGACTGGTAACCAGTGCGGCTCTTCCTCCGGCCAATCAGATAAGAGATAAGCACAAGGATGATTAGGAAGCTGAGGGCCACACCCACTGCAATGGGGACCAAAAAGCTCAAATCAGAGTCCAGGAAGCATTCCTCAGCTGATAGACAAAAGACAAAGACAGTAGATTAGTGAGAGGTGCAAGAGACAGGGAAATGGGTAATGGGTGACAAGCAATGTGGCATTCAGGAGTAGAAGGCACTGGGAAAAGTACTCAAAAGCGGCAATTACAAACTCATCCATCCTCGAAAGGCAAGATTTCAACATGGCGCAGAGCTATACAAATACTGGAGCAGATATTCAAATTAAAAGGACTCATAACCCCTGGCCATGTTTCTCTTTCTTCCGATGAAATAGGCCACCAGAACGATAAGAATGAGAACAAGCAGGGCTACTCCGACAGCTATGGGAACTATGAAGCTCTCCCCATCAGGCATGCAGTCCTCAGCTAGGGTAAAGAAAGCACAAGAGTGAGTGTTTCAGGAGGTTAATAAGGAAAAACTGAAAAGAAGCCCAAAACTGAAGCCTGCTGGTAGGGTAAGGAAAATAAAATTACCTGTTGAATAAAATGTATAAGTCACCGGACAAGACAAATGATGGATTTCAATGCAGTTGACCATGTTCAATCCAGTTTATTGTATTCAGAGACTAAAATCAGCAAACGTCCTGACATTTATAAAGAAAGTTTTGCTGCACATTTCCCTTTATTCTTTCAAATTTTGGTGCACAGTACTGCTGTAGAAATGTGCTGACTGTAAGGATAGTTATTTAATGTGAAATCCATAAGCCATTGGCAACTTTGTTACCCCCTGAAAAGAGTTCACTTTGTGCAGCAACACCATCTCTAGAAGTGAAATTAAGGCAGTTTAAGCATACAGCAAAATCTTGAGCAAGTAATAAACACACTCAAAAAGGTTCACTCAATATCTTGTGCAACATCATAAAGCATACATTTCCATTTGTTCAAAAATGTGAGCAGAGCCCAAACTCAGAGCTCCAGGGTTGACAGTACAAACTATTGCCTGATGCAATGGCTTATCATCATAAAGAGAAGTCCTTTTTAGCGGAACGTCTCACATTTGTATTCTTTCTGACAAGTTGCATAACTATACTAAAGGGCAATATTAAAATATTTTAGTTGAACAAAAAACAAAAACACAAGTTCAACATAAAATATTAGCACGTTGTCGAGAAAATGCATGGCGCTGCAGCTGTAAAATGCAGACAATACATTTAACACAAAAACAAGACTTAGTGCAAAAAGTAACTTGTGAGCAAATGAGCCGTTTGATAAACTACACAATAAGCAATCCCTTTTTCAATATCCATAATGCCAAAAATATTATGCAAGCATAAAAGAGAAAACCTGAATCATTCGGCTTGTGCATGTCTGACATTTCACTTTTGGAGGAGCAATACAATGTCAGTTTCTACTGAAATGAACCAATCCTCAGTGTAATCAATTGTAATTCTTAATTCCTCAACAAAATAAAAAAAATCAGTAACGCAGACAGTTACATACATCACTTTTCCGCCTGTTCAACAGGGGAAGAACACCCCACAATCCTATCACCATATCCGAAAGGGAAAAAACAATTTTTGAAATGCAACATGAAAGTGAAGCAGGCTTTGAGAATTTCACTCATCACCTTTGATCTGAAAATACCAAGTCATTAACATTACAATGGGAATGATTAATTATGAGAAGTATGACCTTGGAGGTATACTGGACAATTTGAGTAGTTTAAAAACTAAGCCATATTAAAGTTACGAGATACACAAACAAGACAGAACTGAAATGATTGAGGGGGAAGAAAAAAAAAAAAAAGCTGTGGGCAGTCAAGATTGGTCCTTTAGAATTAAAATAAAGAGTTCAACAACCCGACCATCCATAACACAATATTGTTGTTTTGAATCGACCAATTGACTTATGGACAGTTAATATCAGTACATTTTGAAAGCCAAAAAGGACCATGCTTGGGAACCCAGACACTGACTGATTACAATTTAAATTAAAGTGTCTGATAGCCAACGTAAGTTTTTCTTCGGCCAATCACATAAGCAATCACAACAATGAGAATCAAGCCAGCCAGGGCTGCGCCAACAACGATTGGGATTAAGATGCTGGTGTCATCCATTGAACACTCCTGGGCTGCAGATAGAAGGAGAATGAGTCACAGGGTGCAACATAATGTTTGGGGAAGACTGAAGGTAATACAGGTCATTAGAATGGCTTCTTTTGTTAATACAAAATAACTGCATAACAATATCAAATAGGTACTATGAATAGCATTTAGAAATATGAGATAACAAGATTACTTACCCGTACTAAAAGAATCTTTCTTGACACCAAAAGGCTGCACTTGGAGTTCAAAAGTGAACATTGTCAGCTTGTTTGTGATTGTATGATTCTGCTCTTTGTTGCACATGTAGGAGCTGCCCAGAGATGCTTGCCAGAGGGTCATGTTGTCATTATGTTCCATGAATGAAACTCCTTAAAGAAAAAAAAAAAAGTCATATCATTTGTAAAATAAAATGTTTCACATATGAAACAAACAAAAAAAGCACAAAACGTCAAAATTACCAGAGCTCATTTTTCCCGTTGCATTGAGAGCATGGAGGCTGAACTTCTTTGAGTCCTAATAACACAGCAAGATATTTTTCATGATACATCCGTTGCAGTGGTATCTATACATTTATTCAAATAAGTAATAAACAATTGTACAGTAAAAATAAGGTAAAACTGACAGAGGCAGAGGTTGTGGATTCCCTATTATAGCAGTGGTTCTTTTCAAACTATTTCCTCCAAAATAAAAGTGAAAACATAATTAATTTGATTTAAACTTTTATTTTAGCTGTGCTAAAATAGTGTATAATCCCCAATGCTGTCCCTGGTTTGGTTCACTTTTTTTGGTACAGAATCTCTAGGAGCAGCTAGAGGGAGTCCTGTTAAGGGACCAGTCTCTACGGTTTGCAGACATAGTTGCCCTGGCCTCCAACATGCACTAGGATGGTTTGCAGCAGAGTGAAGTGGCTGCAATGAAAAGCAGCAACTCCAAATTCTCTTAATTAACCCCTATTGCTACCCTCTGGTAGGGTTAAATTACCCAGGGCTAGTCAAACTAAGGAAAATTCATTAAAATTCAGCTTTTTTTAAACCACTGGTGGGTCAACTTGACCCGAGGACAGCACAAGGATTAGAAATGACCGAAAGGACAAGCTCGCAGATGCAGGAGGGAAAAATAAGTTTCCTCCATAGAGAAGCTAGGCTCTACCTTGTTCCACTCTTGGGAACACCAGGTCAGCTGAAGTGTCTTCAAATCTGTCAACCCATCTATAGTAATGTGTTCTGCCCCCGCTTTGAGAAACCCCTCACCCCCTTTCAGTCCTTCCCAGTTTACGTCACATTCTGCATGCAATATATCAAACTTACGTTAAAGAAGGTCAAATTGAGAGTTAGAGTTTCAGCTTGGATCCAGAGCTCACTGTAGTCCTCTCCACAAATTCCAGAGACAATAGTTTCATTGGTGAACTCAAAGTTTATCTCCTCGTATTTCTAGAGAAAGATTGAACAATGACAAGCCAAAGCATTAAGAGAATCAAATATTCTTTCAACTTACAACTCCATGAAAGCCAAGGCGAAACCCAAACTTGACCATCAAACAGGTGGTATTGTCTTGACTTGACTTTACTTGATACTGGTGTATGTTGGGAGTGGGGAGAGTTGGTGCAGGAGTTGTGGTAGTAGGTGCATGAGTTGTGGTAGTAGGGGCCTCGGTGGTTGTAGCCTTGGTTGTGGTAGTAGGGGCCTCGGTGGTTGTAGCCTTGGTTGTGGTAGTAGGGGCCTCGGTGGTTGTAGCCTTGGTTGTGGTAGTAGGGGCCTCGGTGGTTGTAGCCTTGGTTGTGGTAGTAGGGGCCTCGGTGGTTGTAGCCTTGGTTGTGGTAGTAGGGGCCTCGGTGGTTGTAGCCTTGGTTGTGGTAGTAGGGGCCTCGGTGGTTGTAGCCTTGGTTGTGGTAGTAGGGGCCTCGGTGGTTGTAGCCTTGGTTGTGGTAGTAGGGGCCTCGGTGGTTGTAGCCTTGGTTGTGGTAGTAGGGGCCTCGCTGGTTGTAGCCTCGGTTGTGGTAGTAGGGGCCTCGGTGGTTGTAGCCTTGGTTGTGGTAGTAGGGGCCTCGCTGGTTGTAGCCTCGGTTGTGGTAGTAGACGTGTCCTCAGTGGTTGAAGTCAGCAAAGTGGTAGTAGCATCTAGGTCAGCTTCATAAGTTAGTGAAGAAGAATCAGCTGCAAAAAAGTAGAAAAAAAAGACTTAAACCGATAAGTATCAATTATTGTTTGGCATAAAAAAATAGTTAAAAAAGGGCACAGAACTACATTCTACAACAAGATAATGACTTCCTCAAGGCACATTTAACAAACAAACAAACCTTAAAACGTAGTTTTTGGAACAGAAGTGGTACATAAGTTGTTGGGAAACAAACTTTACTGCAATAACATAATTGGTTAAAAGGGCCGTAATGTTTGGCCTCCAACAGAGTCACGTGAGGACTGTAACTGCGAAGTGAGGCGAAGACTAGCTAGCAGCTAGCACTAGCCACCCTAGCACTTATCTGTTTATTGTCATTGTGAAGTTGTGTAACCATAAAATGCGCCATTAAAAAGGTGAATTTCTTGATAATTATATCTGTCGCGTGTACAATACATCTATATTGACAAATTACACAAGAAAACATGACTCCAAACTAAGGTGTTTGACGTTAGCATTTTGAGCTAACTACACAAACTAACGCCGTCAAATAAAACTGGCTTTACATCCAATTAAGTGTGTCATCTTTTAATTTTTCATTGGAAACCAATATTATCTTGTTCTTTAAGCTCCAATAGTTGTCACATCTGTTTTAATCCCTTGTTACGCAGGTAACAATTACCGAGGACTACTTCAGCTGTGGACAATCGTATAAGTATTGTTTTAAAGCACCATCGGTGCTCAAGTCATCCTTAAACCTTCAAAAGCTTGTTGTAAAGAGTTTCCAATATCGTACGAAGGGCATTATAAAAAACAAACGACAGCGGTATTTCCGCGATGTCTAGTGTCGAGAGCGCCACGGCCTATTCCACTAAAGTTCACATGGGATCACATCGTGTGTACAAAACTGTGCATCAATACAAAGCAATCTCAATTAAAAGTGCACGTACCAAGGCCGATGGCGAGGAAAAGGAGAAATGCAGCATACGGGGACATGGCTGCAGTCTGGTCGTCTGTGTGAAGGAGTTTGTGAGGAGAGAGCTGCTTCTTCACCGCGGGTTCTGACCAGGAAATAAGCTCCGGTCATATGACAGAGGCTAATGTGTCAGAGCAAAGGGGCGTGGGCGTAGATCTATGGGCGTGGAGTTGAGGGTGATTAAAATGAAAACATAATAATAATACAGCCATGCCAAACACACTGATGCTTATAGTTAATAGCTTACGTTTAATCTCTTGTTTCTCTTGACAGGTTTTGCACCACAATAATACATGCCAATCCATAACTAATAAATGAGTTTTCCCCCAAATAAATCTTTTTTTTTTGCTATCACCACTGGCAATGATTAAAAACATGTTTTTATTCTCTAAAGGTTAGAATTGAGTATATGAGAGGTAGATCAAACTTCGACAGTCTTTTATTAAATTGAATGCCAGCCTATTTCAGAACAGGTACTCCCACAGTGCCAGCCATTTCTGATGATTTTTACTGATTTTTAAAGACCCACAGAATATTGTGTACTATGACTATCTGAAATCCAACACCAGATTCTAAAAGAATGGACTGTCTACTTTCATCAGCAAAAAGAATTTTGTTTATAGCTTTTTCCGTTCCCCTGTAATCCTCCGTCGAGTAGAGGGAAGTTTTCCTGAAATCACCAGAAAGTTGAGAAAAAAGAGGCACAGCATGTGCACCTACATGTTTTGAAACCATTCAGAGAGCAATGCTGCCACCTGCTGGCTCGATAAAATATGGTCTCAAGTCATCCCCATACATATTAGATACAATAGACATCTGGGAACGTGAAAATAGCGAAAAAGGCAATTGACGGATTAATCCGTCAATGGCACACGACGTTACTATTTGCTTTGACGTATTTGTGCGTCAATGGGACACAATGAGTTAACTTTAATCTTCCATTAGACCTCAACTATAGTTCCTTGTACAATGAATAACAAAACACAAACCATTTAAGTCAGATGTTTTAATTTTGTGATAAGCCTATCAGACTCAAACATCAGAATATTGTAATCCATCGTTTAAGACGAGTCAACATTTATCTGCCCACATTAAACAAAACCTCACTGAGTTGTTTGATGTTTCAGCTGTTTGACACAAGGGGAACACTGGAGGCGCCATAGTCTTGTGCTTACAAATGTTCAGAACACAAACAATAGATTTGAGCAAAACTTGGCACTGCTCAAACCATAAAAAACAGCAGTGCAATCCCTTCTACAAGTGCATCTGTTTGGCACATCACTTGGGTGTTTATGGTAATTGGCCATGTTTTGTTCACAATTTGAGTACATGTAACATAAAAAAGGTTCTGAATTGTTTTTACTTTTCACACCAATCAAAGAAAACAGACAAAAGTAAAATTTTGATGTGACGGTCAATAAGAGCATTATCAGTGTCAGTATGTTCTTGATACAGAGTGACCAAAACAAAATGTGACCAAAGAGCATACATTTAATATAGATCTAAGGTACAAAATAAATATTTTCCCCTCCCAAAGAGCAAATGAAACATGAGTGTCTTCTTTGTCATTCCAAAGTATTCTCTCAGAGGCACAGAGAAGTGTGGACACTATTCACTTTCCAGTGGGCATGCAGTCTGCTGGACCACAGAGCTCCACACCAAAGCTGTCTCCATTCATTTGGCGGTCTCATTGTTGAGGTGATGCTCATTAGTTTCCCGTTGAGGAAAAAAGGTTTACAGACCGATCTTTGACAGCAGCTTTAGGCGGGTATGGCCAAATGTTTTGCTTTCAGTGTTTTTGCCTAAGCCACATAGTTGTACTGGTTTGAGTTTTCTTTATCACGTTCCATATAGTCCCTGTCAATAAGAGACTCTATCCTCTTCTTCAAATCAGCAGGCTATAAAGAAAAAAGCATGATTGTCATTACCATCCATGATAAGGCTGTAAATAATGTACAATACAATATAGTCCCTTTATTGCAACTTTGGTAAACATGGTGGTTGATTGATATGGATTAAACATATTGTTGAAACCAAATCAGAATTCAATTATTCATTATACACAGACACCATGTCATGTACTGAGAAAAGTAGGGTAATAACTGAGCATGAAATGAATTGAAGTGAAATATGTGTCTGCTAATGTACATCACATGCCTGACGCAACATGGGGCATCTTTTTCAGACCTAATAATAAAACTGGGGGGGATTACCATCAAAATTTCAAATAAATTCATAGCTAGATGATTCGATGTTTAATTTCAGTCAGAAATAATAGTTTGTTACAAATGTAATTCTAAACAATTCAATTAGAAGGACCCTGGACAGCTGTGGAAACAAAAGTACTGTGTATGGATGCAATTTTTCAACAGAGGGGATACTATAAACGTGTAAACAACCGTTTACTTGTAATTGATGATCTAACAAGACATAAATCACCTTGACTGGGAACTTAAGTTGGTTGTAGACTTCTGACATCAGGAGATTATGGCTCAAAGTTTTACGCATTTTCATGATTCGCACAATGGCTGCGTCGATCTGATACTGGCGATCCTGGAACACTCTTTCTGTCGTACTCGCCTGCTCCTCCACCTACAGGACACATCATTTCCATCAGTGACACAGTTGGGCCCGCAATTGGAGACTAAGAAGTACATACTGTTTCTTTCATCTGTATCTGATTTATTTTTATCCTGAAGAGTTTGTGTCTGAAGTCATCATTGCAGGAAAACCGGTCTCCATCCTCCACATCTTTGCTCTTTGGGATTTTCGTGAGAACACGGGCTTTTCCACAAGCCAGCGACTGTAGTGTCCGGCGCAACTCACTGTCCTCTGGGTTTACACAAATGTACAATAGGTTAAATGTAAGAAATCTACCAGTGACTTCAGTAAAAAAAAAAAAAAACAATAAACCCACAAACCTATTCCTGTTGCCAATTTGATTTCCTCCAATGTGAACTCCTCTCCTTCATTAAACATCAGAAGTACTAGTGTTTGGAAAAGTGACACTTGAAGCTCCTTCTTTCCCTTAAGATCAGGTAAAGAGAGACACATTTAAATACATTTTACATGACTTACTTACAAACAACATAAACAAGCAACTTTAAAAGAGATAAAAGAACAACTTCCTCATGACAGTCAAATATGTGTGTATGTGTTTATATTTGTTCTTTTTTGAAAATAAAAACAATCATACGTTTGCTGTATTTTCCAGATAAAGAAAGGGATGTATGGATCAATGCACACCAATTAACTCACATCAATAACAAGTTTTAAAGAATTTTGCAACTAAATGAAGCAAATAAACATGCTACTCAATTCAACCAACATATGTCAACAATATTATAAGGCTATGCTTGGTCTGCTGCCATCTTACATCTGCCAATTACTCACACAAAGAGAGGTTGGTTCATATGGTTTGCGATCAAATGATCTTTTGTTGCTCTCTTATTTTATGAAATTGTATGTAACTGTTTTATGATATGTAAGTGTTTTATAATATGTATGTATGTAACTGTATATAACTTCTGTCCAGGACTCCCTTGAAAAAGAGGTTATTAATCTCAATGGGACTTTCCTGGTTAAATAAAGGTGAAATAAAATGTAAAAAATATTCAACGCTGATCTGTGAATGTCATAGATAATATCTACATAGCAGATATTAGTAGAACAGAATGTGTGCACACAAACCTCTTTGAATTCAGCTTTTAGAACACAATGTCCTAGAGTCGACTGCCACTGAAGCTTTCTGCCGCTGTGTTTTCCCAGATAGAAGGTTTTAAATATTTCCTGCAACTTCACCATCTAGAAGAGATGAGAACTCATTGAGAGTGATCAGTTCAAATGTAATGCATAAAAAAGTCACACACAGACCTCAGGGGGAAGGTGCACCTCCATGGGCACATACGTCGGCCAATAACCCATGGTGAGGATATTCACGGTGAGTTCTATGTTACCAGGAATATTTTGGCACTGCATGTACTATAAAACAAACCACAATGTGCAGTAGAATCGGATTTGTTTGCCCAGTTGAATTGTCATTGGCACTGAATGAAAATTATATGGATAGAATTGGTACATGTTAAAACATAAGCAGTGGTACCTGTTTGAACTGGACCATGATGTCTTTGGACAGCTCCATATCTTTAAACATTCCTTCCAGCTTACTTGTGAAAGCTGCTCCACATTCTTAAAAAGGTAAAAAAAGACGTTTTGTTTCTTCCACTAGTGTAACATTTCTCGTTTTTACAATAAGCATGCTGAACCAGCACTGACCATGTTTCAACTTAGACAACATTGACTTTTCAGCATCTACCGAGGCACTTTTTCCAACTAATAACCTTTTTGCTAGATCTTTCTTATAAAAGGCCTCAAAAACATCTTTTCCTGAAATGTAACAAAATTTACAGTTAAAATATGTCAAATTATAATTATACAAATATTTGACAAAAGTCAAATACCATAAATGAATCTGAAGATTATCATGATCTTGTCCAGCATCTTCTCCAGCTCCTCGTCAGTCGCCTCTTTGTTTCCAGCTCGGAGTTTTGAATCTACGTGTTTTGCTGTAGAAAATTTAAAAGAATTAATTAAAGGAAAAAAAATCATCTACAAAAAAACAACTTATATGTTACTAACCTATAAGTTCAGCAGGCTTGTTTGGCCGTTTGTTGATAAATGTTTCAAAGGCTTCTTTCATAGCGTTAACAAACTTTTCATTCTTCAAGAAGCAAATGTCTATAATGTGGTCCACCTTGTCCTTAAAGTCCAGTAGTTCTTGCACCATTGTCTTGTCTTTTTCAGGATTTATTACAATTGTGCTACCAAACGCCTTTGCAAAGGGAAGGAAAAGGTAAATGTTACAAAAATAAAAGTGAAATGTGAAAAATAAATACAACTTATGGCACCTTTATGTATTCTATCCAGTGCTGCAGGAGGACCTGAACACCGCCCCGCACTCGACTGAAGAGTTGGTAAAGAAGAGACAGATCCTGGATTCTGTTCTCATCGAGGAGATGAGTCAGCCCTGAGGGTTTCATCAAAACATCAACATGATGTATACCACCTGGTAAACTGTGTGTGTTCATGTAAGAAAGTTCAGCACGTAATCTCATAGACGAGGCTTTAAATGAGCCGTGTGTGCACTTTGTGTTTGTACACACATTCCTCAACTAAAATCATTGGCTGGAGCAGCGCTTCACTCACATCCATATCTTTCTCTTCTCCTAAAAGCAGCCCTTAAGCCCTGCCCACTCCGTGTGAGTTTCTATGGCGATGCTGTCACTCACAGGGACAACCTGTCTTCTTTATAAAATGAATGCTTTGGGGTAGGAATCAATGAGTTACATTTTAATTGATTTAACTCCTAAGTGCAGCACTTACAAAAATATTAATTTTCAGTTTAATTGAATATATCAACAAAGTTAAAGAGATGCCAATGTTAAATGCTAATTTGGCTAGATTAAAACAAATAATGAAAAGTTTAAATGTTTGTGTCAATATGATCGGTATTGGCCGATCAAAATGATAAAAGATATCAGTGATTGGTCACACAAATCCTGATCGGTGCATCTCTAAATCAGATTATATTCACAATAGAAAACTGTATTTTTATCAGCCGTTATCAAATCCTAGCAAAGACTTAACACCAAAGTATCCACAATGGTACCCAAACTGGAAAAGCTCAATCCATGCTCATCTGAGAGGCGTAAAGATGCCCCACTGTCAACACTATTTAAAGATTGACATGGGACATGTTTACACACAGGTCTCTGCTACACATGATTTGTGTTGGTATTTTTTAAAGTTCAGTACCTTTTTGCAATACAGCTGTGAGATGTTCACCAAGTAACTGCTTCTCCACAGTGGCAATAAGCGGTTTTCTGAAATTGAAAACGGGTTACAGCTCATATTCACAACTAAGTCAAGAGGTAGATTAGATAAAATATTTCCATACTGTGTGCTCTGGTCTAAGTAAGTAATAACTCTGTCTGCTTCCTCCTCTAAACGTTTGTTCACATGGTGAAGGTATTCTGGCACCTGCAACACACAAATGTTAAGCATTTTTACAATAGAATTTCAAAATCACATTGTATAAAAGAAAGCGTAGAGTGTATCTTTGTAAATATCGGCAAAGTGCTGCTCTAATGGCAACAGCTACGGAATGGATGTAAATACAGTATGAGCGACTAAAAAGACAGTGATTCAACGGTTGTTTTTCATGATTCATTTCAACTAAGCAAAGTGATGCATGTTCATCAGTGTTGCCCCACAAGAATGAGGTCATCAGCGTAAACTAAGTAAGCAACATACATACATACATACATGCATAATCATTTAGATACATAAATATGATGCCACATCCTGATGCCACATCCTTTGAACCACATTTTATCCCAACATGGCATTTATGGTAAAATATAAATAAAGAGGTACAACAGAGGTCATTGAATTGCTTCATTACATCCATCCATTTTCTTCCCCTTAATCCATTTCTGGGTTAGGGGGGTGGGGGTGCCAGTCAGAGCTGCACCCAGTACACATAGCACCAGCCCCTCACTGATCCTCCTACAAGTGGTGAGTACACAGGAGTCTTGATCTTTCAGCAGGGGCTTCAGGCAAAGTGGGGTTAAGTGTCTTGCCCAAGGACACAATGACTACAAACATCAGCGGGTATGGAGCTATTATTGTTTCAATAATATTTGTGTGTGCGTAAAAAGATTTGTGCGTGCGTAACCAGATTTGTGTGTGCGTACCCAGATTTGTGTGTGCGTAACCAGATTTGTGCGTGCGTAACCAGATTTGTGTGTGTGTAAAAGAAATATTTGTGCATGTGTAAATAGATTTGTATGTACGTATCAAGATTTGTGTGTGCGTAAAAAGATTTGTGTGTGCGTAAAAAGATTTGTGTGTGCGTAGAAAGATTTGTGTGTGTGTAAAGAAAAAAAAAAGTATGTTTTACACACAAGTTTTTTTTTTTTACACACAAATCTTTTGACGCAGTCCTGCCTTCGCAGATTCGCAAGTGTAACTTGGACTGTGTGCGTGCGTAAACAGATTTGTGTGTGTGTAATTTGACATTTGTATCTGTAGCAGAACAATCTGTGTGTAAATAACCTCGTTGTACAAAGAGAAGAACGAAAAAAGCCTAAGTGCTACGCACAGGCTCTGTTTTACACACGAATCTCTTTTTGACACACCTCTGCCGCCAAGCGTGTGTCAAAAAGATTTGTAAGTGTAATGTGGTTGTTCTAGCAGTACACCAGCAGATGGTGCTGTTGTAGCTGGTTATTACCTACACGCAAGCAAACCAAAACCTACTGCCTTGACAAGACACACTACCGCAGCTGTTTATGATATTTTTTTCCTATTTTCAAAATCCTGTCATTCACACCACTGTATGATACATGGATCTATTATAATAACTGGATAGGGTGTTACTAGCTTGGAGCTGAAGGATTCTCACGTACTGCAGACTAAATTCACGTTGGCTACACAGAAATTTTCCCCATAGAACTCAAAGTAAACTAAAACAGCTGACAGATAACCTACAGCTTTCATAAAGGTCGGATTTTGTGGGAATTTTAGTGTTCCTTGTCATCCTGAACTTTTCTTCTTCTTAAATCCTTCGGTTTTCTCTATCTACACTTGTTGGTTTGCTTGCGTGTAGGTAATAACCAGCTACAACAGCACCATCTGCTGGTGTACTGCTAGAACAACCACATTACACTTACAAATCTTTTTGACACACGCTTGGCGGCAGAGGTGTGTCAAAAAGAGATTCGTGTGTAAAACAGAGCCTGTGCGTAGCACTTAGGCTTTTTCCCGTTCTTCTCTTTGTACAACGCGGTTATTTACACACAGATTGTTCTGTTACAGATACAAATGTCAAATTACACACACACAAATCTGTTTACGCACGCACACAGTCCAAGTTACACTTGCGAATCTACGAAGGCAGGACTGCGTCAAAAGATTCGTGTGTCAAAAAAAAACTTGTGCGTAAAACGTACTTTTTTTTTCTTTACACACACACAAATCTTTTTACGCACACACAAATCTTGATACGTACATACAAATCTATTTACACACGCACAAATATCTGGTTACGCACGCACAAATCTGGTTACGCACACACAAATCTGGTTACGCACGCACAAATCTGGTTACGCACACACAAATCTGGTTACGCACGCACAAATCTGGTTACGCACGCACAAATCTTTTTACGCACACACAAATATTATTGAAACAATAATAGCTCCATCAGCGGGAGTCTCAGAAGTAGGTCTCATGTTGGGCTCAAACCCACGACCTTCAGGCCCAAAGAAGTGCAAACATTTAAAATAAACCAAAAAACACACCTCTCGCTCTTGCAGTAACCGCTGTCCTTCGGCAGCATACAGGCGATTTGTCTCCTCCAAAAAGCGCTGCTCAAACGAGTCCTGGTAGATCTGTAGTGAAAAGAATGGAAAGAGCTTTAGAAATGGTTCTGCTTAAAATTAAACAACAGCAGCATGGCGAGTTTACCTGGAGGTCAGAGAGCATGCTCAACAAGCTCCGGAGAAGACTGCGGTCAATGGCCTCTCCATTACGCTCCCGCTCAATGAGAAGCAAAATCCCATCGATAGTTTTACTTTGGACTTTCACATCACTGATTATGTAATACCTGAATAGCTCCAGGCCCATATCCCTTTAAAACAAACTGGCCTCATTAACATTGTCACATATCACAAACACAATTCAACACTCACCAAATTGATGGCAACATGGAGTTTTGTAAAACATAAGTACGATCCAAGAACAAAAATATACTCCTGATCATTATCTGTGGGTGAAAATAAATTTAATTAATCCCCCAATAGATTGGACAGGGAAGGCACATTCAAATCAATACTTACCATTTGTCTGCAATGATCTTGCCAACATTTGTCAATTTTTTTGAGGAAAAGCACACTATCTAAGGCATCCGTTGAGAAGGTTAAGGCATTTTACATACAACAACAATTTGTACAATTTCCTATGTAATTTAATAATGGAGGAAAGAAAGGATATTCTCTGAACTGGTCGATCTGTGCCTTAATATGATCTTCACATGCAGAACGTAGCTGCAGGTAAAGTTTGGCAGAAATCTTGTGAGAGCAAAGATTCTCCACAGCCTAAAGGAACAAGATGGTCATCAGCAGCAGTGGTTTATTTTGACCAAGCCTAAAGATACTGGCATTGACAACTCTCTGGCAATTCAGAATAAAAAATAAAATCATAGAAACGCCAAAACAGTGAATGAATGACACAAGTAGAGCTGTAGAAAGTTAATCAATTATTGGAATTGTTTCACTATTACTACTACTTTAGTAATACCACACAAACTAAAACGTATGCAGTGATGCGTTTTTATGACTTTAACAGAGCTGCAATTATTGCATAAAAATGTTTTTTGAATTAAATGTCCAACTTAGTTTCAACACGTCTTCAAGTGAAAGTTTTGTTTGGTCAAAACTATTAAAAATGAAAGTGAAATCACATATCCAATTGTGTTTTAGGGAACTTACAGCCATAGTTAAAATGTTTGCATAATGAAAATATTATGATCCTATGAATACTGATGATGAATATTAATGAATACTTTACCTGGTAAAGTTCCTCTAGATTGTACTTGATAGAAGTCCTGTTCTGAATAGCTTCTACTGCCTCCTTCAGTTTCTGCCATGTCTCCTGAGTGTAATTTTCTGGCAATTTGGGCTTTTCTGTGAGAAGAAGTAGAATTAAAACCAAAAACACATGTGTGAGCATACATATCATTATTGACCAAAACAACATTCATTCAGAGGGTTTGGTACTATTTGAGTTAACTATTTGTTAACGTCTTTGTAAGGGACCAGAGGGTTTTGTCATTTCTTTATGTATTTGTGAACCCCTGAGCTTTTGGTCAAATACATAATGAAAAAAAAAAATAATACAAAGAATAGAAATTATAAAAATAGAAGACATCTTGACCGTGTTCTTCTCAACTGTATACATATTATACACGTTTTAAAGAATCAAACTCTGGATATATGATTGATTTGAGTGCTCTAAAGATTCAATACAAGTGCTATCATTCCATCCATGGGGGGGTGGCAGTCAGAGCTGCACTGCACCCAATTTACAGAGCTTCAGCCCCTCAATGATCCTCCTGTAGGTGGTGAGTCCACAGGAGCCTTGATTATTCAACAGGGGCTTCAGACAAAGTGGGGTTAAGTGTCTTGCCCAAGGACACAACGACAGCAGTCATCAGAGGGAGTCGTGAAGTAGGTCTTGTGGTGGGCTCGAACCCACGACCTTCAGGCTCTAAGGCCAATGAGTTATCTTCCAATCCTTTTAAACAACGTGAACAGGTGAGCACCAGCCTTCTGGTTTGAGCCAGTGAGTAAAATGTAATAGTTTTACATGTTGATTTGTTTTCTAGCAAAGATATTGATTCAAAGATAGCTATAATCCACCACTTATAGCCATGGCACATGTCAGACCAGATGTATTTGAGTACAATTTCTTTTAAGGCCCAACATTATACGTTTTAATGCTTACAATGTACAGAACCAACCTTTAAAGTTCTTGATGACTAGTTTCTTAGCAGCTCCAGGCTTACTGTTGGAGAAGGTGGTAGAGCCTGCCCCTTTAGTCAGTCCGTTTGCATGATGCCCCACCGGGCCACCGGGTAAAAACACCTGTCTTTTATTGTTTGAGCACGAAGCAGCAGCAGTACTGGACTCCTCAGCCATTTTACCATCCAGTCCAATGAAATCCAGTGAATCCTCAAAGCGCAACTTCTTATGGATGTGCACCGGGGTGGGACAGGGGGATTTGGGGGGCGAATGGGAGATCGAGTCTGCGCTACTGTCTTCCCTCTCTGCACAGTTTATTTTCCTCTTTTTAGGAGATGTAATGCTGCCGCTGTCGTTTTTGACATCTGTAGTCTCTGCCCTTGCCTCCTGGGTTGGCGGTGGTGGGGGATTAGGGGCAGATAAACCTGTTGGAAACATGAAAAAACGGGAATACAGATTCTCACAGCTAGTCTTCTTAATCCAAAACTTCCAGGTGTGTCCAGGGGGAACGAAATGTCCCAGAGTGTTTGTCTGCAGAGTGAGGTTTCTGGAAAAAAAGCTATGCCTGGGTATAAAATATGAAATAAACTACAAAGTAACACAGTACTCCACTTGGTCCTAGCATTGGCTGTTTCTTGTTTTTGGTGGTAGAAAAAAAGATGGTTGGCTATTGCTTCCTCTTTTGCTGGAAACCGCGTTGTTTCTCGCATAAAGAAAACGGTTATCAACAGCTATCGCTAAACTAAAGCATAGTCACACAAAGTAGTACAACAGAAAAACGCCTCTTAGTGATTTAGAATTGCGTCTGCCGGTATTTGCGGAGTAATTTCACTTGTAAACGCTGGTTGTGACCCTACCGGAAGCACTTTGTACAAAAGCACACGTTTTTTTAGTCGAAAATAAAACATCGCCCACAAGATGGCACTGTCTAGTTTTTAAACCTTTATATTAATTGCTATGTTTATAACGTTTACTAAACTTTATCTAACGCATTGTACAGTGAATGTTTACTACAGTTTTAAGATGCACGTATTATTATCGTTTTATTATCTACGCCACATTTGTATTATATTGTTTTATTTGTTTAACTAAATTAATAATATTCATCAAAAACAGCAACCAGCAAGGATATAGAATAATTGTTCTAATTACATAATTCATATATCATTAACAAACCCAAAAAACATCCACGCAACATGTCGTAGAAGCTCCTGTGACGTCAGACAATAGGGCTCATTCGAATTCAGCAACATAGTCTAACTTCCTTCTCCTTTAAAATGTACGTTATACGAGACTGGGAAGGTCGTATGTTTGATCAAGTGCAATTTCATTTAAAAAAAAAGAAATATATATGCCACGAATTTCAAATATAGCCAACAAATGCCAATACAATTAGAAGGAAGGTCAAGGAAGGATAAGGAAGAAGATCTTTTTGATGAATTCGGATGCCGGGCTGGTCACTTGCCTCCGCTGTTAAACAAGCGTGGTTTGCTATTCACAATTTATTAATCAGTTCTATGTATTTTTCCTTGGTGTGCGCTTGATTTCCCAAACATTATTGGGTCAAAAAACGTCGGTGAAATTAAGTCGGCGTGGTTCGATCTACCAAGATGTTCAAAAAGTACGTGCTTTAGCTTTCTGGGTCCTTAGCTTGTCGTTGCTAGCTAGCTGTAGCCACCTTTTCTAGACTCAGGATAGCATGTTGTATTGAAAAGAAATTGGATGCTTTACAGTGAAATACTATAGAGAGAAATATGTCAATACACCGTTTTATTTTTGGTTAAGTCAAAAGTGAAATCTATCCTAATATTCTGTAATAAATATGCGCTTTTTCAGGGGACCTGTTGGAAAAAGTCCTTTCTGGTGTATTCTGTTCATGAACTCTCTTTTACTTTTCATTAGATTTGACGAGAAAGAAAATGTGTCCAATTGCATCCAGCTGAAAACGTCAGTGATCAAAGGAATCAAGAATCAGCTTTTGGAACAGTTTCCAGACATAGAATCATCACTCAATCACATAATGCCGAAAAAGGATCCTGTCAAAATAGTGAGATGGTATAGAATTGTCTTTTCCTACGAGCACTATTTTTGTGGAAATTCAAATGTTTGTGTATTATGACTGTTTTTTTTCTTTAGTCATGAACATATTGAAATTTTGACAGTCAATGGGGAATTGCTTTTCTTCAGACAAAGGGAAGGGACTTTTTATCCCACACTCCGACTGTTGCATAAATGTGAGTTTCACTTTGCCTGTATATTTTCTACCATTCTCTTGACTTTTCATTGTCTCTCGATAGATCCATTTATTCTCCCTCACCAGCAAGTAGACAAAGGGGCAATCAAGTTTGTCCTTAGTGGAGCTAACATCATGTGTCCTGGCCTTACCTCACCTGGGGCTAAACTTTATCCGGCTGATTCTGACACAGTAGTTGTATCCTTTCAAATGAACTTAAATGCATATTTTGTAATCATTCCTAACAATCATAATATTCCTATATAAATAATTAAGGCTATTATGGCTGAAGGTAAACAACATGCACTCTGTGTTGGTGTCATGAAGATGTCTGCTGAAAACATGTATGAAACATTATAACTTTGTCAACAAAAATGTATAGTTAAGTATTAGTTGTTTTTTTAACTTTTGTTTTTTCCCTTTTCAGAGAAAAAGTCAACAAAGGAATTGGAATTGAGAATGTCCATTATTTGAATGATGGCTTATGGCACATGAAGACGTATAAATGAGAAATTGCACTTACAATTCTAGCTTGGAAAATGTTTACAATTATGGACTTGCTGGACGTGCTACATTTTAATTCCTAGACAACATAAAAACATGCTAAAAACCCTAAATGTACAGGTTTATGATATTTGACCTGAGTGTTCCAATAAAGGATGCTCCTGCTGCCGTGTTCTCATCTGCCTTGTGAGTCAGCTCGTCTTTTTGTTTGTTATATGCCAATCTAGAAATTCAATAAATTACTAAATAGTAATTGCATCAAAAGTTTCATTATCATTGTATTAAACATACTCAGCCTTTCGATAATTTAGATGTGAACAAGTGATAGGATGGAAATTTAATGTCGAGTAGAAATACTATTAATTTTTATAACACAAAATCATTGGTCTACATAATTAAACCACCCTATCATATTTTGACTTATATCTTCCTCTGTCCCTGTACATATCAGACTGTAAATATTAGTATTTATGGAAATTACACCCATGTAGCAATTGTCAGTGGTGAAAAGAAAAATACACATAAGCAGTTGATTTTTTTCTTCGAGTTCACCAGAGCCTATATTATATCTTATTAGTCTACCACTCAAACCTTCCTTGTCCAGAATGACTCACTGAACTTCACAACACCACCATACATCAAAGATGAAGTATAATTAAATACAATTTTGCATGGGGGGGAACCAGTCATACAAACACATTTTTATTCATATTTAATTTTATTAATTCTGGTATGCTTTCCACCACTGTAAATTTAAAGATTTTCTTTTCTGTATTTAAATGAAACATGAAATTGAATAACATGTACGCTTTGTCAATGAAATGCAATAGTTTGTAGACAAAAAATTATAAACATTTTAAATAACATAAAATCTTCAAATGAAAATGAAAAGAGAATTGTGTTTACTTCCACAATTCACATAAGCATACATCAATCAATTTATAATTAACAATATGACAAAACAGACAAATTCCCATTAATTTTCAATCCTTTAAGTCACCATGAAAAGCATGATGTGCAAATTGTGCTAAAAGATAGAGATACAAAAAAGTATTTTCCCACAAGGTTCCAGTTTCACAAACAGTAAAAAATATATACATTTTTCCAATCACAGAAGAAACATATCACTGTTACTCTTAATAGTATTAGTCATTGTCTGAACCTTCTGGTGGTTTGAATTCCAACAAGTCATGAAAATCATGTCCATAGGGACGCAATCTGTATACTCCAAACATCATAACCTGCATTTGATTGGGCGACATCTCACCAAATGTGATGGCCATATCAGAACAACAACCCTCCACCACATCCATGGGATTATCTTTAATGCTGCTTGATATTAGGCTGTTAACGCTCTTGCTGTTGAAAAGACCTTTGCCATGTGCATCTTCTCCATTTTCCGCAAAGACACCTTTGTATTTGAGGCATTCACCCAGCTGCTTGTCTTCGCTCAACTTCCACAATGCATGACCTCTCTCAGGACATTTCTCCTCGTCCTTAAATACATCCACCAGTCGTTTCAAAGCTTCATAACTTAAAACAATGCCACTGTTAAATGACACATACTCTAACTCTCCTGACTTCATAGCATGGCCAAGATAGAAAGGTTCTCGTGGATCCTTGGTGAGCACCAGATACTTGAGGTTCTCAATAATAGCAAACGTTGTAGGCTGTGCAATGAAAAACCATTGTAAGTCTCCAGCATTTTCATAAGCATGTTTCAGAGCTTTCCGTAATCTTGCCCAGTCATCTTTTTCATCCAGATCTACAGCTTCAAGAGCTTTAGACGATTCAGATGTATAAAACACAGGCTTGTCGCAGTGTTTGCTCCAGGTGTCCATAGCCGTGGCCCAGTAAACCAGGATCTTTGGTTGGACCATGATCACACAATAAACACGAACTTGATTACTCAGCTCTTTAATTTGGTCGTCACCCAATTGTTTCAACTCATCTTTGCTTGCAGCCTTAACATGATGGTGGTGGTGCTGTCCGTCCAGTTTAGTCTCAGTGCTGAGATTGGCAATGAGTGATAAGACAATGCAGAAGACACCTCCAAGCACCATTCCCTTAAAGAAGGAGCCTCCTTCAGACAACATGTTGGTAGAGAGAAGAACTATGGGAAAGAGTTCAAACAATACAGATTGTTATCACAGGGCCATAGACAAACTGACATACAACGTTGTTTCAATCTATTATTTGGGATATTAACAATTTGATACACTATTGTTACAGTATACAATAGAATATCTAAATATTTCGTTAAGAGTAGGTTGCCCTTTACTTTGACGTTTAGTACTGTGTATTAATACCGTTGAATTATCAAGAACATAACAACTGTATTTGCCTGAAATAAAACGAATAGTTAAAAAAAAACCTTTGTGTTGGTAATAAAGAATCTACATGTTCAATTTTGATAAGTTCTTAATAGTTTTAAAACATGTTTGTTTTTGTACAATAAGCCTCTCTCTGAATACAAAGCTAACGTGTTAGCAACATTATCATTAACTAGACAAGTCGTTAAGCTCTAGTGCAAACTTACTCTCGGATCTTTAGGCGTGTATGCTTCGTCTCCAGGTTCAGATATCCTGTTCGATCAGATTTAGCAGCCTTAACTAGAGCAGATACATATTAGTGTCAGGTTGGGCTGGGGGTTGAAGCCATGGATCTATTATATTAACGGGTTGAAGCCTTTATTGCAATGGGTAATCCGGCTGCCACAACTTCCGCGTTGATAGTCATGTGATGTAGTACGAGCCACGTTACAGTTACAACCAGGGGCGAAGATAGTTCCTTTTAAGGGGTGCTCAACCACCCCTGAAAATATGTCAAGCACCCCTAAAATTATAGAACAAACAAAAAATTAACATGAAAAAAAATATTAAAAAACGGATTTTTAAAACGCGTCCAGATATAGGTTATGTATAAATACTGTTTTTGTTTTGTAGAATTCATTGTAACCATCTATTTTAAAATGTCAGGAGTAATTCCATTTCATGCAAAGAACGCACCGCACAGCAAGGGCGGCACGGTGGCAGAGTGGATAGCACTCTCGCCTCTCAGCAAGAAGGTCCTGGGTTCAAATCCCGGTCGGACCAGGGCCTTTCTGAGTGGAGTTTGCATGTTCTCCCCGTGTCTGCGTAGGTTTCCTCCGGGTACTCCGGTTTCCCCTACCACTAAAAATATGTCCAATAGTTCTGGCATGCGCCTCCTGTACTGGCGACCCCGCTCCCATCTCTGTGTGGAGTGAGAGACAAATGCCCATAATTAACAATTGTAAACCGCTTTGAGACTCAGATCTGCAGTGAAAAGGCGGTATATAAATAAAAACTTACTTACTTACTTACCGCGAAGAGAAAAAAAGACGCCGGGGCGCACCTGTCCCGCTGCGTCTGCTTCTCTGACCTCATCTCTGTGTCTGTGTCTGTCTGTGAGCTGAGACTGAGCTACAGCTGTGTTTGCCAGTGACTTTCACGTTTACCTGGTTGGTAATTCATTTTCTATCCCATCTTTTCCCATAAACTTTATGTGAATTAAGAGTTACCTAATGTCAGATTCAGATTCAGATTCATTTATTCGCCATTTGCAGTAACACTAAATTGGAATACATTTGTAAAAGTTCCCAGTGTGCACAGGACAAGTACAGACACAAAACAACATTAAAAGACAAAAATAAAACAAATTTTAAAAACAGTAAACAAATGTCACCGTGAAGTTGACCAACTTAAAACAGATCTATACGAGTGCAAAAACATTAAAGTGCTCTATTCAAACTGTTAACAGCTCGTGGAAAAAAACTATTAGCATAACGAGATGTCCTGCATCTCAGAGAACAGTATCTTCTGCCAGAGGGAAGAAGCTGGAACAAGGCTTTTCCTGGGTGGCCAGAAGAGTCATTGATAATTCTCAGGGCACTGTTAAAAAGTCTGGATTGATAAAGAGCCTCCAGGACAGGAAGTTCACAGCCTACAGTCCTCTTTGCAGAGCGGAGCACCTTGTTTAGAGCTCTCTTTTCTTTATCTGTGATGTTACCGAACCACACAGACACAGAACCAACAAGTAAACTCTCAATGGTGCAGCGATAAAAGTTCAGCAGAATCTTAGAGTTAGTGGTAAATTCTCTAAGTTTCCGCAGGAAGTAGAGACGCTGACGAGCTTTCTTTACGACCCGGTCAGTGTTTTTAACCCATTTCAGGTCATTAGACAGAGTTAGACCCAGAAACTTACACTCCTCTACAATCTGCACTTGGGAGTTATCGATTGCGACAGGCAAATGAGAACTATTGCGACTGAAATCAAAGACCAGTTCACATGTTTTGGATGCGTTCAACTGGAGGTTGTTAGCCTTACTCCACTGAACCACGTTTTGGATCTCGGCTCTATAAGACGATTCATCGTTATTACTGATGAGACCGATGATGGTGGTGTCATCAGCATATTTGATGATCAGGTTAGAGTCTGAGGAAGACACACAATCATGAGTGTACAGTGTAAAAAGTAAAGGACTCAAAATACATCCCTGAGGAGATCCAGTGCTCACAGAAACAACATCTGAAAAACAATCATTGATTTTCACTTTCTGAGATCTGTCTGTTAAAAAGCTATAGATCCATTTACACATGGCAACACTTAAGCCGAGAGACATGAGCTTTTCAATCAGTATACCTGGGACAAGACAATTAAAAGCAGAGCTATAATCAATGAACAGCATTCTTGCAACAGATTTCCTATTGTCCAAGTGACTGTAGACAGAGTTCAGAGCAAAGGAGATGGCATCCTCCACACTCCTGTTCTGTCTGTAAGCAAACTGGAGCGGGTCAACACTCACAGGGATCTGGCTCTTAATGAAGTCCAGCACAAGCCGCTCAAAAGTTTTCATAAGAACAGACGTGAGGGCCACAGGACGATAGTCATTAAGGCATGTCACAGGAGTTTTCTTAGGAACTGGGATAATGGTCGACTCTTTGAAGCAGTTCGGCACAGTACAGTTCCTTAGCGACAGGTCCGA